GACATGCCAAAGGCTTTTGTCTTTGACCAATAAGAGGTATAATGACATCAGAGTTTTTCATTTTTTTTGTTTTTGCCCAACTTCATGAACATTACAATTCGGATGTATTTAACATTGGTATATATACTTTACTTATGCATTAATTTGTACCCCTAGTGCACAATTGTAGTTTCTCTTTAATGGTAAGCAAATATCCTCATTTGACTTTTATAGAGTATGAATATAAGTAGAATATATAATAAAAAAGTTCAATAATATAATACTCCCCCAATATTTGAACTATGGCATGCCAAAGGCTTTTGTGTGTAAGACTATATACATCTTACTATGTTACTATGTTAGGTAAAGGTTTATAGCTTCCTACAATTGTTGAAAACTGAGATACTGCCTGGTGTTACATATAGATATATATACTAAGGACGAAAAAATTCCACTTATGGCATGATACAACCAATACCTAACAGGTTCTCATAATAAAATTATGGGCGTGTTTGGTTTTATTTCCGAAAATTATTTTTTGTTCTCAAAATTTTAAAAACACTCAAAATTTGTTTGCTTAATATTTTTGTTCTCTAAATTTTAAGAAAAAATGAGATTTAAGTCAAAGAAACAGAAAACAAGTGTAGTTTGTTTTTAGAGTTTTTTTTGAAAATTTTGGAAATAAAGAGAATAATTTTGGTTTTTCAGATATGAATATATATATATATATATAAAATGATTAGGTATATGATAGAAATGAGTGATGTGATATTTTTAAAGAGAAAATATATAAATGATTAAACATGTGATAGAAATGAGTGATGTGATTTGACGTTTAAGTCTGACAAAAAGATGATGGGTGAAATAAGTGATTGGTGATAATTTTGAGAGAAAAATATGACAGAGATAAAATTCAAACACACTCATGTTTTATTGTATAGATATTATATATATATTTTATGAAATTTTCAATATAAAAATAATTTTTGTATATTTTTTTATTATTGTTTGAATTACTGTTCAAATACATATTTAGATTGTTCAAATAGATTTTACAATTTTCTGTATTGTAAAATTGTTTTTGAAATTATCTAACCAAACAAGTTTTTTATCTCAAAAAATATCAAAATCACTTTCTTAAAACTCCTCTCAAAAACTATTTTCGGATATTATTTTTTGAAACGCAAATCAAACAGACCCCTATTTGCTTAACATTTTTGTTCTCAAATTTTTGAAAAAAAATAAGATTTGAAACACAAAAACAAAAAACAAGGTTGTATTGTTTTCGAGTGTTTTTGAGGAAAAGAAGGAAACACGGAGAACAGATTATCTCATTAAACAGGTATTCCCTTCAAACTTTCTTAACAACAAATAAACTCTTCCTATAAAAGGTTTTTTATTTTTGCCATTTGTCTCCTTTTTTTGTCTCTCTCTCTCTCTCTCTCTCTACAAAACCGTAAGAAAGAAGTGGTGATAAAATCATCTCCGACGACTGATAACTCTCCAACGACTGGGATACTTCATAAAGTGTACTGGTGCGCACTCTTAATGGACACAGATCCAACTGTATTGTTGTTAAATTTCACCCATTTGGTGAGTTTTTTGCATTTGGTTCCATGGACACTAATCTAGAGATCTAGGACATCAGAAAGAAAAGATGCATTCACACCTATAAAGGTCTCAAACGATGAGATCATCTTCTCTTCTTTGATGTGAATTTCAGATCTAGGTTTCAATTCTTGTTTTGTCTTCTCCGACAATTGTTCAAATCTAAGTTCTCCAACAACTATTCAGATTTCGATTTTTCTTTTACTGTTCAGATCTTGATTTTTCTTTTCTTTTTTTAATTTTATTTTATCAATTTAATATATTAAAATAATTTTATATGAAACTGTCTCTCCAAATAGGTTTTACTATTTTTATTTTATAAAATTATTTTTGAAAGTATCTAACCAAACAAATTCTTCTTCTCAAAAACACTTTTCTAAAATTCTTCTAAAAAATTATTTTCGAACACTGTTTTTAGCGACGCAAACCAAACATGTCCTATTATTCTTGAATACCAAATTTAGCATTTTGGAAAATTTCTAATAATTTATGCCCTTTTTAACTTGAGGGAAAAGATGAGTAAATTGCAGGGCCAAAAAATTACATCAAGGTGGTTTCCTCTTAAGTGTAAATTAACATTTATTCTTACTAGACATAATATAAAAAAAACTTATATTTTTTATTAGATATTTTGCAGAAAAATGTCAACTACTCAATAGACCTTAACAAGGTGCCAGAGTGATACTATCTATTTTAAAATCAAGTGAACCAAAAATTTATTGTGAAAAATTACCACGTAATTCTATTTCTTCAAACATGTAAATTATTTTTCTTCCCTGAACCTTATCCTCAACCAAAACCAAATATAGGTTGAAAGTCTCGGCTGCTTGTAACCTTGACACATTTAGACGTGTAATTTTTCAATGTCTCCTATTCAACTTCCATTACAAATTTTTGTCGAGCAACAAATAAACCCTTTAGTTGTACGTAACAGAAGCCTAAACAAAAAAAAAGATAATTGACAAAAGTGATGTTCATCATGCATTCAGTCCAACCCAATTCTTGAAAGCAATCAGTGCTCATAGTGTAATATACCTCATGAGTTTGTTGGTTATTTCGTACTCAAAACTAAAGTACTACTTTAGTCATGAAGAACCTAAGAGAATGTTTGGTTGGCATTTTTGTTTTTGTTTTTTTAGGCAAACAAAAAAAATAACATTTTTGGAATTGTGTTTCTGTTTTATATAAAAAAATATGTTTCGAAAATAAGGTCCAAAAACAAGGAACAAAAAAAAATGTTCTAGGAAACACACTTTTTGGAAACGCGCGCTCCATAATCCTTATTTAATGAGATCCCCTATTTAAATCCCATTAGCAACAACAAGAAGGGTTTTTTTTTGGGTTTACTATAAAAACACTTTGAAAGGTATATTTTCTCTCTCTCTCTCTCTCTCTCTCTCACACACACACAGACGATGAAGACCTCAGACGAAGATCGATCCCTCAGACAAACAAAAACAAGACGATGCTCTCTCTCTGTCTTGCTCTTGTTCTCTGTAAAACTCAAAAGATCTGTGCATATATATGCACAGATCTGTGCGCGCGTGTGTGTTGTGTTGAGTCTGCGTACGTGAGTGATGAGTGTGTGTGTGTGTGTGTGTGTGTGTGTGTGTGAGAGGACGAAGGGCCTTAAGAAGTTGAAGGAATATTCGAGAACAAAGGAGGCTGAGAAACTAAGTAATCTTGAGACATCAAATAAGAAATCGAAGGATTCAAAGGAATTTGTGGATTCAACGAATTTAGAGAGTACAGGAGGTAATTGGGAGGCATAGAGGAAGGATTTCCATGACCAAACGAATTCACAACAGGTAGGGAAAAATTACAAACACTAGGATCCATTTCAGAAGAGTTCGACGATTTAAAGAAACTCGAAGACGGTGATGCAAAATTTCTAACAAATCAGGCGAATTTGGGGGAATTTTCCTCTGTAATTGATCAGAATTCATGATCAATTCAAAAAAACAAATCAAAAAACAAAAATATCAATGAAAATCTTGAAGAAATGTCAAAAAAAAATCAAAGGATTGATTTAATTACTATTTAGGATTGATTGAATTGTCATTTGGGATTAAATTGTCACTTGGAATTGATTTAATTGTCATTTGGGATTGAATTGGCATTTGGGACTGTAAACCATATCATTAATTTATCAAATTAATTCAATTTGTTAAGTCTCAATATTATTATTGAAAGAAAAAACAGGAGACTTAAGGATATAACTTGAAGTAGTTACCAAACATGTTTTTTGTTTTTATTCTCATAATTTGATAGACACAAATAACTCTCAAACATGTTTTCTGTTTCAATTAACATGTTTTTATTCTCATAATTTAATATACACAAATGATTCCCAAGCATATTTTCTGTTTCAGTATTTACCACAAAACAGAGACAAAAATTGTCTCTGTTTTTTATTTTTTTGAAGACGCAAAAACAAAAACGTTACCAAACGACCCCTAAGTTTTCGTGGCATATCAATCTATTTTTGATAGAAATTGAAATAGTGGCAAATAATATTCCTAAATAAAGTGAAAAATTGAACACGCATATTTTGATTTACAAATAACAATAAAAATAGAAACAAAAAGTATAATTCAAAATAATTCATGTGCATATACACATACATAGCAAGAAACTAATTAAAAATCATAGAGAAGTGAAGACACATAATTTACCCTTTAATAACTACATTAACATTAACTTTATTAATATTTTTTATGACACAATAACATACTCCACATTTTTTTATTTCTACTAAATTATCTTTGTCAAAGTAACTAGAGAGAGAGTCATCTCTTTATGAGAAAGTAGTGAGTTCTCTATTCAATAGAAGTTCAAAACATAAGTTTTTTTATGGTAGATTTCAATATATAGCTCTATATGTTTATTGTTCAAATATTTAATTTTATTGTGTCCGATGTCAAGGGTGCTTTTTTTAGTTGATTAGCATTCATTTGGTGTTTGAGTTTATTGTTCTTATTGATAGAAGTTTAAATTGCAAATTCATTAACGTAACTCTATAATTCTTCTCTCTTAATGCACACAAACAGACTCAAATATACATGTGTGTACCAACATATCTTGCTTATGATGTTTCATATCAGGATGACGAATAATTTTTCATTTATTCACAAAAATTATGTTAAACTAGTTGTCATTCAACACACGCTTATACCAACTAGTACCTAATAGAAGAAAGATCTTGTATTCAAATGTAGTGAATCGTGGTTTAGTTTACTTTTATTGATCTCGTTGCTTGTTCGAGACAGTTATATGTGTGTGGCATTTGATCTCACTATCAATATGCAATTCTGAAATGTGAATGCATACTAAACCATATTGTGCAATCAATATCTTGACAGGCTGAGGTATTTCATGCCTCTGCAATTGCCAAGTTTGTTGCCATATAAAAGACATCTCTATAACTTCTTAGAAAGTGGTAGGGCACAAAATCCATTTGAAACAAGTCAAAGATAACTTTTGCTTTTAGTTCATTCTCTATTTCAATTAGATCCTTCATGTACCAAATGTGAAGAACTGTCATACCTTCTTGGCAATGCCCTGTGCAAATGCTTCCTTCAGTACTTGCACACATAGAAGCTGCAAAACATAGCTTTCAAGCATCATCACCTGGCAAGATGGGTCACCACTATTCTTTTCTCCTTTACTTCCATTCCTTCCTTCTATAGGTCCAGACTCTTCTATTTCCATATCTGCAAAAATGTATGAAGGTAGACCTTCCATGAAAAACTCAACTGATGTGGATTCCAACCTTTCTGAGAAATAACAAATGCAAGATAAAGAACAGTTCAAGAAAAAAGGACCAAGAAAATAGTAAGGAATCTACCTTTACACCCATTTTGACATGAAACAGAAGCTTGGGTATCTTTCCTATATCTGAAATTCACAAATGTAATGGAAGTCTTGTGATGAAGGTCTTGAGTAGACTACAGCAAGTAAGAAGTGCAGAACAACACAAATTCAAATTGTCTTACTTCTTCTCATCAATGCTACCATCAGATTTATCAAGGATGTCCACAGATGATGATGTTTCTTCTGCATTTTCAGGAGAACAAGTTGCTTTTAGGGTCTCCATTTCTGGAGTTCCATCTTCTGGTTCCTTGGAATGACTGCAGTTATTAACAGAATCTGAGGCTTCCATTGCCTTTCCAGCTTCTGAGGACAAGCTGTGGCTCCAATTGCAAACATCATCCTTTCGCTCAAATTTTCCACCATCTGTTGGCAGGATTTCTGACGTCTTTGCTCCAACTTTACAAACACTTCCTTGAACAGTTGTCTTGGGAAACTCCATTTCTCCCAAACCACCAAGGACATGAAATGAATCCTGAGATATGCATTCCATATTGAAGTCTGGCAGTAATTTTGGCTTGCTTAACCCAGACCTAGTGTTTGGAAAAGAAGTGTTCTTATGAGATTGGCTGAACGCAAGCTTTCCAGGAAAAAAGCTGTTGCAGGGTGAATATTTAGCAGGGGCATCATGTTTGCTTTTCTCAAAAGATGCTGTGGCATCGACATGTAATTTGGGGACCGGATAATCACCAAAAGTATCTTCAGTGGAGAACTGAGAAGCTGAAGATGCACTATGTTGGACCCCTGAACCAGATGCATATCCTTCAAACAACCAACCATCATCTGAACCTGACTTAGTCTGGAAAGTAGAGGCAGAGTAATGAGCTGGAGCCAAACTTGGTGCATTAGCCAAGCTTGTAAATGTTCCTTGTCCACCCATATTCTCCCCTTGCTGGAGAATGTCCCTCTTTTTGCTTTGTGTTTCTTTGGCATATATACTCTTCCCACTACATTTACTTACCAAGTTTGCTAGGGGATATCTGGTTGCCTCACTCCTCACTGAATTAATGAAAAGTGGATATTCATTAGAACTTTAAAGGGCTATTAAACTAGAATGATCATCTAATGTCATCAATATATAACCTGCACTGGACGAGCATGACTCTTCACTGTCAAAAGTTCACAGAAAGTCATAAGACAGATAAAAGCAACTTAGATGACGAACAGCAAATGACAAACAAAACGCCCATCAACAAGATTAGATAAGAATGCAAACCTCAGCGACCTCATACTTTCTCGTGCTTCTTCTGTTACAAAGCATGACCATGCTGGTTGATTGGTTACATCTCCAACATCAAAAGTTCTTCGGACTGTAGGAGACCTGGTGTCATGTAAGACAAGAGATCATTGAGAATAAATGCCATTTTACTTGCATTTTCTCTATGCAAAATTGGCATACCATGGACCATCCGTAATTATGAAATTATGATCGCTCTTTGATACTTGGTGCTTGGAATATGGAGCCGGTGACTCTAATAATCAACGAGAAGAGAGTATAAATCAACCATAAAAAATAAGATCAATAAAGGGTGTCCATTCCCCACAATCATAAAAGTTACAGCTCTAAATGTATCTTTTTCCTTGTTCTATATGTGACAATGTTTTTCAGATGCATAGGTGAAAATGTGGGCATGCGATGGCATTGCTGACTTCAGATAAAAAAATATCTGCACATAATACATTCCAGTAAATTAAATTTACTGCTACCTTCCCCTTAGCTACAAGTGTAATCCTAGCTTCAATCCAACTAGATTAGAAGGTGACTAGAGGATTTCCAACCCCCCCCCCCCCCCCCGCTCCCCCACTCTTTATGCAACATAGAAATCACTAGTAAGATATCAGAACCCTTCCATTTTAAACCCTCAAAGAAAATAAAAAGAAACAAACCCATTAATATCCCCTTCCTTTGAAACTACAGGTTTTCACAAATTAAATACAGATTCAAATAAGTTTGCATGGCTCCAAAGCATCAAATTACAACTATGAGTTTTCAGAAATTATATACAGATTCCATACCATTTGCACAGCTCAAAGCATAGGAAAGATGTATTCTCAAGTTATCTAATTTACATCCTATAAGATTTGTATAGTAAGCTACAGTGCGAAAAACATAATTCCCCTGAAGCCTTCAAAAGCAATACCTTTCACTCAGCTTTATATACTTAAACCATTCAGGTTTTTATAGGATTAGAACAATTCTGAATCATCCCTTGGGCAATGATCATGAATAAAACCAGTCAAGAAGGCATTAGGAATTCAAGATGGTCAAGAATTCACAGCACAATGATATTCAATAACTTGATCACAAGCTTGTGTACTTTTTTTATGCAAAACCATCCCCAACATATGTCAAGTGTTTCATTTTTGCAGGCCAAAAAAAGTGTTTTATTGTTAGCAGAAAAATCAACCATAGAGAAGTTTGATTGGGAAGCAAGAAATAAAAGAATGATAATAAAGCCTCTAGCGTTCACCAATATTCCAAATATAAGGAAACAGACACAAAAAATTTGATGAGAAGGATATACCCAAGATGTTGAATCTGCAGCCTGCTTTTGTACCAGCCCTGCACAGATATAACAACTCATTCAAGAAGTAGAATAATATGACATGTGAAAATAAGAAGAATAAAAAGTTCACTCTCCAAATAAATACCTTTTGTTCTCTACATGGGGGTGTCCAAAGACTAAGTCTGGGCTCTCATCGATTCCAATATTCATATAGTCGGAAGGACCGGCATCCAATTGAAATGACCACTTCTTCCAAGACAGACTATACTCCTCGTCAAGAACGTTGTCATCTAGGAAGCTAGAACTTGCTGATAAACAAAGTACAGACATTCCATTTTCCAATAAATTAGTTAGTGGCATCAAAGAAAAAAAAAGCCATGCAATGCGGAATTGCTAAAAATTGCAACTTAGATAAACAATATTAGCTTCAGCGGATTTAATCATTATTGTAATACGAAGAATATGCCGTCAAGAAACCACCAATTAGTCTTTCTTTTAAAATATCTCCACAAACAAATTTCTATCATCTCGTCTAAAATAAGTTGAGGATAAGATGGTGTATCTGAAGCAAAAATCTAATCAGTTTCATTCATATTTGAGCTTAAGCCTTGGCGTACATCAACAGTGCTTTCTACTTCATTCAACGGGCAAATATAAATTCAACATTCGACTTTAAAAATTCTTTTCACCCATTTAAACAATTGTACATGTATATCATCCATATAAAAAAATGTCTCAACATCAAGGGCCTTGGCGGAAAGAGCAAAATAGTAGAGGTAGAGAAGTGAAGAAAGACAAACCATTACATAAGTTCTCATTTATGTTCTCACTGTTACAGAAGATTTCTTCATCACCATAAGTATTCTTCAAATTACTATGACCGGTGTTGAGTTGCGAGAGCCTTTCACAGGCTGATAACTTCTGCTTTGGGTTGCCAAATGAATGCATCATGCCCATCGAGTAGAATGGTAGCTCTAAAGAACTTGCATGAATCGATGTATCAATATCATGCATCATCTCATCCTGTTTTTTTTACATCACAACTATTAGTTTCTGATCACCATCAATAGTAGCAAAGAAGTTTAGTACCGGCAAGCAAAACCGTGCTCCCAGCCTGCACACACAGTTGTGATACAGCCAAATGGATTAGAAAAACAAAACATATGCATCCATTTCGAGATGATATTAAAATGCTCACCAACGGACACCATTTGACAACAAGTAGACAGCAGCGGGAATCATAATTCAATTGGTCAAGGAAAGGCCCTAATTTATCACAAACTAATCCAAATCTCTGATCTGCTTAAAATTTTATTCATGAGAAAGCATTCTGATAAAAAGCAGAATATTTGGGGATATTTGGAAAGTCGTGAAAGTTTGGGTTGGGGTGATAAAGTTTGGTCAAGCAATAATTAATAGATAACAAAGCGTCTTTTTCAATTCAGCAAAAAGTTGGTAAATTCAGAAACTCTGGTTTGAGATTAAAAGTTCAATTTATCAGGAAAACACAATTTGAAAACCATAACAAGAACCCAGCATATTAATCTCTTCAGATGTATACCAGTCTAATTCGGTTTCCTTCAACATTAGAAAAAGTAAAAACTGTTTTTTAATGCATCAAGTAATTTAAGCGATCTCACCCAGAAAATCACAATGAAATCTTCAATTACTCAAGGTCGAGTACATGAATCATATTTTTCCATTCAGCCCACCTAGGGTCATATCTCCTCATGAAGCATTGGTCACCATACCAAATCCTGCTTTAAGAAAGAAGCAACCTATTGTAGTGCCATAATGTTACCCCCTTAGCGTTTGGCTCGGCATTGGTATGGGGCTACCTCGCCCAAAAGCACCCATGCCTTAGCCAAATTGGGTTTTGCTGGGTGAAGCAAACCCCTAGTGCAAAAGATGGTTTCCTAAGGACTTGGACTTGTGTTTTGTTGGGTTACAAAGTGGTTTGACAATAGTTCAAGTGGCATACAATGACTATGCGCCAAGCTCAAGTCATTAAGATTTCTCGGCTCAAAGTATGTCCATTGTTAATAGTTTTTTCCTCACTAACGCTATTATAGGGGGGGTGCTTCGCAAAAGGGGTGTCAAGCTTCCCCAGGACCCCTACGCCCCTGAAACTTGGCACACTAAAGCAAGGCATGACCTCAACAGATGTTTCACATGGGTGGAGGTAAGGTATTCCAAAGTTCGACACCTGAGATGCGGCGCGGATGTTCGGTGGGATCCATTGTTGAAGGAAGCCCCACGCATAACTGAGGGAGCCAGCGCATGCATGGACACGTTGAACATGACCAGTGGGTTGATTGAAGCCCCATGCATGGCTGAGGGAGGCAGCACATGCATGGGCACATTGGACACAACCAGGGGATTAATTGAAGCCCCATGCATGGTTGAGGAAGGCATCTCATGCATGGGCACGTTGGGCACAAGCAAACATGCAAGCAAGGCTAGCCGGTGGGCTTGAACTATGGAGCAAGGCTAGCTTGGAAGACTAAGCCATGGGTTGGGTATGGCTTGGCACTAAGGCAAGGCAAATCAGGTGTTGTGGGCTCGCAAGGAAGGTAGATGCATAACATGTGAGGTGGTTCTGAGTAGTTGAGGCATGTGCACTACTGATGGTGGCAGTTTCAGACGGGTTGTTGACATGTGCATTGCATGCAGGATGGTTCTGTGTTGTTGGCATGTGCACAGCATGAGGGAGATGCTGGCATGTGCACACGGCGTGCATAACAGTTGAGGGCAGTTGCTAACTAAGTCAGCCAACAATTGCAACTACCCCTTGCCATGTTCAGCATATGTTTGGAGCGGCAGAGGGACTCAGCCATGGTCAGAAAGCTATGGGAAGCTTGGGGGTGAATCTGATTGTTGCTTTGTATTGCCTAGGCGGTTGGGCTTGTAACTGCCACTTTGTATGCTCTATATAGGCATGTTAGGGTTTGCAGTGCAACCAAGAGAGTTTGGGCACGTTTTGTAAGCAGATCCATAGTCAGGTTTCCTTTAGGTTGCTAAAAAGTAAAAGGTTTGGCCATTTGGCCGGTAATTCGTGTGTGCTTACTGTGAGTTGTGTGCTTGCCCAATATTCTGTTCATTATATGCATTTACGTGAGCGATTGTGTGCATTGGTTGAGACTGAGTGTTGGATCTCAGTGTCATCATGAGGCAGAAAGTTAGAGTGAAATTTGACCCCCGTGACACATAACGATTACTACACTTCAGATTCCAGAACATGAACAGTGCCAACTTGTTGACACAAGGGCTATCAATCCCTCACCTACATGAATCTAGCAGAATACTGCCTGGGTATTACTTGAGAAAAAGCCAGAAAGAAAAAGTTGTAAAACCCGTACACATTGCAAAATATTAAATACATTGTTTTGACATGACTTTAGTAATTAAACAAAGAAGACATTTGATTCCTAATTCAAGAAAATACTAAAATCGTGAACAACCGCTGTAATTTATTTCTACATGCACAGTTTAAGGCACAAGCATAGATACATTAAATGGCATGCAGTTATCACCTTTCACCATTACCCAAACATGCTGAAAAGTCCCCATTGGCCACACAGAAAATAAATCCTCATGTTGAACAGTTATACAAAAGAGAATTGATAGGTTAAAGTAAAATTTCAAAGCAAGGTGAAGAAACAGTAAAGAAGAAAGGTAAGGAAGTAGGAAGCAAGAAACATGGAAGACCTCAATGCAGAGTTCCTAGTAGGAAACACATCAGGATCAACAACTCTTGGAGGGCAACAAAACGAAATGGAAAATTGAGGCACCAATAACAAACTCATAGTTACTCAAAATAAGTTGGAGAAGGAAATCGCATGCAGCAATTTTAATGACAAGTAACCATCAGCTATGCTCTCACCACTTCAGATTCAAGGTCATTCAGCCCACTATTAAGGTTCTTGGATGAGTAAGTTCGCCTTGTAGCTTTTGCTGGGCGGGAGCAATCATAGGAAAAGGATCTATATTCATGCCAAACGTAAAGCATTGTTCAGAAAACGATCCCAATTACAACCTGGAATTCTTCAGGCTTTAACATGCAATACCATTATTTAGTTGGAAAACAAAATTCACAATTAAAGAATGAAATTTATGTCTTGAAATATCAGATCATTAATAAATTAAGAGATCAATGGTATACCAAAATAACATGTCATTAAGCTAGCAGTAATTCACAGGGAAAGCACACGGGAAAAATCTGATCCTTCTCAGTAGATGACAGATCGCCAGTGACACGTCCCATATTTGTGGATTCTCTCTTTCAGTAACTACCACTTAACATGTATATAAAAAAAGAAAAATAATTGTTCTGAATGCTCCACATCAAAACAACAAAACAATTGGAGCTTTGACTCAACTGTCAGTTCAGACGCAGTTGAGAACAAAATTTCAACATTTGTTGATCAACTAATAAATGCAGTCATTGGTATAACAAAAAACTGAACTGATTCATGTGGGATAACCATGTCCCAGTTCCAGAAAGTAAGCATAAGAAAATAAAACTTGACTCAAAAGAATAGGTCTCGCCACCGCAAGGGCATAAAGAGTTCCCCAGGCCAAATCATCAATATTCAGGTTGGGCACAATGCTTGGCTTGAATTCATCACAAAAACTAGCTCTCCAATTGTCTCTTACATTTTAATTTATATTGTGCACTACTATGACAGAACTGACAAAGATAGTGTCACCTAAGTACGCTTGTTTCTCAAGGACCAAGGTACTATCCTCAACTATAATTTATTAGATGCACTGTTTATGTTCTTTCCTCAATAACGCCACAAACCTTGACCAAAAGAACCAAAATATCTAAAGAGATACCTGCCAAGTTGCTCCGGAGAATGAACAGGTGTTTCAGTTTCCACTTTGCCCAAACCTAATGAAAAAGAGCCGGGTTTAGCTAGACTCATAATCACCAAAACAACTGAAAACCTCATATAAATATTGGTAGAATCTTTATATTCACAAAATATGTTTTGTATGCGAAGTTGACAAAATAAGTATAAGCGCCACTAAATTTCCTTCTCTGTTTAATTTCTTATCAATGACAAAAAAAATCAATTCCTGGCCAAGAGTATCCCTGTTTCAATTGCTAAATTCCCTTAAGATATATACAAACTTGTGCATATATTCCAGTCAAGTCAGCAAGCAAATCTTTAAACCATGCATTAAGGTAAAAATCTGAGCAATACAAGAGCTTGGAAAAATGTTTGTTTTCTGCAATAATAAATTGTTTAGTAATCCATCTTTGAACCATGACTTTATAAGGGAATGATCAATCACAGTTTAATGACGCTTCTACAACAAATGAGAAAATAAACACTGGCATTAATTTCTAAATCACCGATAACCAACTGTACCTTCAACTGAAAATGCAACATGAGCTTCATGTTCTAAACTCCCCCCGAAATTGCTATCAGGTCCGTCATCACCGAGTAAATCAAGAACAGATAGCTCTGGGAATAAAAAGAACAGGATGGAAATATAACAGCTAAACCACCAACACATAATGTACTGATGCAAACATTACCCAAAAAAAAAACCCTCAATGACCCTGGTCTCCCACACACAAACTATTACTTATTCTCGATAATCCATGAGCTAAAAAAAGTATGGAATAAAAACAAACTTAATAAACTCAAAATCATTACTTAAATGAATATTGGTACTCACGGTGCCAATTAGCCTTCCTCAACTGATCCACTTTGTCAACATTTCCATTTGAAGCTTTGTTATGGCTGGCTGGAGCACTGAATAATACCCTGAGAAGCATAAAAACATTAATTCTTCACCAAGACCACACACCCTCTTTTTGGACTGTTAAGTTTGGAAGATTAACATAATAATATTAGAGACAATATTTTGGGAGAAACAAAGAGAGATTAAAAACTTAACCTAACCCTCATACATCACTTGTATTTATAGGTAACTCATAATCATAAGAATTACACATACACACCCTCTTGTATTTACACATAATACCCTAACACTATTAACAATTTATATATACTACCCTAATACTCTTAACACTCCCCCTCAAGCTAGACTATATATATCATATAATTCAAGCTTGGAACAAATCTCTGCAAGACGTGTACTACTCAATACTTTGGTAAACATATCTGTCAGCTGATCTTCAGATTTTACAAATGGAGTCGTAATCTCCCCAGCTATTATCCTGTCCCGAATAAAGTGACAATCAACCTCAATATGTTTGGTTCTCTTGTAAAACACTGGATTGGCAGCGATATGGATAGTTGTCTGGTTGTCACAGAACAACTGCAAAGGAGGTTGAACTGGAAACCCAATTTCCTGAAGAAAGTGTAGCAGCCACGTCAACTCACTCGTCGTATGCACCATTGCCCTATACTCAGCCTCAGCAATGGATCTTACTACCATAGATTGTTTCTTACTTTTTCATGAGACAACATTACCTCCTAAGAAAGTACAATAACTAGTGGTTGATCTCCGATCAGAAAGAGAGCCAGCCCAATCAGCATCTGCGAAACCTTTAACTCTAAGATGTCCATAAGCTCGATAAAATAGTCCAAGTCCAGGAGCTCGTTTAAGATATCGTAGAATACGAGTGACTGCCTCCCAATGAGGTACTCTAGGACATCCCATGAACTGACTTACTATACTAACTGCATAGGAAATATCTGGTCAAGTAATAGTGAGATAATTAAGCTTCTCAATCAATATGTGATACCGACCCGGATTCTCAAACAGTGTACCATCATCCATCAATAGTTTTTGATTTGGATCCATAGGCACATTAATCAATATGCCCCCCAACAAACCCGTTTCCTCTAGCATATCAAGTACATATTTCCTCTGTGATAAACAAATACCTTGTTTAGATCGAGCCACTTCAATTCCCAAGAAATATCTGAGTTTTTTCAAATCTTTAGTATGAAATCGATCCTGCAAGAAGATTTTTAACTTAACAATCCCCTCAGAATCATTTTCAATAATCACAATATCATCTACATAGACCACCAATAGAACATATCCAGCATCCATCTGTCTATAAAACACAAAATGGTATGTCTGACATCGAAGAAGACTAAACTCTAAAACAGCATTTGCAAACTTACCAAACCATACCCTCGGTGACTGCTTCAAACCATACAAAAAGTTTTTTAACCGACATACACTCTTACCATACTCCCCCTGAACAGTAAACCCAGGTGACTGCTCCATGTATACCTCTTCAACCAAGTCACTATGTAGGAAAGCATTCTAACGTCTAACTGAAACAAGGGTCAATCAAGATTAGTAGCCAAAGAAATCAAGATACGAACAGAGAAAATTTTGGCGATAGGAGAGAAAGTCTCCTCATAATCAACACCATAGGTCTGAGTAAAGTCCTTTGCAACAAGCCGAGCTTTGAGACACTCCACAGAAACATCCGGATGAAATTTAACAGTATACACCCAACGACAATCAACAGTTTGTTTACCAGGGGATAAAGGAATAAAATCCCAAGTCCCATTATAATGTAAGGCAACCATCTCATCCTCCATAACTTTCCTCCAAACCAGAATAGATAATGCATCCTGAAAATGCATAGGGATAGATATAGTAGATAATTGAGACGTAAAATAAGAGAAAACAAGAGATAAGGTATCATATGAAACAAAATAAGCAATGGGATGATTAGTAACACACGAACGAGTATATTTTCGAAGAGCAATTGGTAAAAAGTCTAAATTACTTGATGGACCAGGATCAAAAGGCGGCAAGAAAGACGGTATGGACGCCTCAGTCGATGGTCGAGGACGACGAGAGTATACACGAAGAGGTAAAGTAGACAGTAACACAGTGGGCAGCGAAATATCTGAAAATGATGGTGGTACAAGAGGTGACTCTAAGTCCAGATCCAAAGGTTGAGAAGGTACTGAAAAATATGGAATAGATTTCTCAAATGTAACATCGGCACTAGTAAAGTATCGTCACAGAACAGGACTGTAGCAACGATATCCCTTCTGTGTGCGAGAATAACAAAAAAATACACATTTGGTAGCGTGAGGATCAAGCTTATCAAACTCAGGACCCAAATTATGAATATAACAGACACATCCAAAAATCTTAAGAGGTAGGAAAAATAAGGATTTATCAAGAAAAAGGACAAAATATAGACTTTGTCCATTTAACACAAAGGATGACATATGATTAATAAGGTGACAAGCAGTAAGAACAGCATCACTCCAAAAATATCGAGAAATATTCATCTGGAATAACTGGGCACGGGTGACTTCCAACAAATGACGATTTTTGCGTTCAGCAACACCTTTCTGTGGAGATGTGTAAGCACAGAAAATCTGATGAATAATGCAAGTTTTACTAAGATAAGCTGAAAAATGATCAGATTCATATTTTCGAGCATTATCAGAACGTAAAATACGTATACGACAACCATACTGAGTTTTTATTTCCTTATGAAAGGTTTCAAATATAGAAAATAATTCAGACCGAGCTTTCATCAAAAACAACTAAATCACACGAGAATAGTCATCCACAAAAGACACAAAATAAAGATATTTATTAGATGAAATATTCTTTATTGGACCCCATACATCAGAATGTACTAACTCAAATAGACTAGAAACATAATTATTGACTCTAGACTGAAACGACACATGGTGATGCTTACTAAGTTGACAAACTTCACAAGACAAAGACGAGATACAACTAAGACTGAGAACTTGGCGCTTCAGATTCTGGAGAGAGTGATGTCCAAGACGACAATGTCATTGAAAAAGAGACAACGAGGTTTGTAGAGCCCGGGTAAGTGAATCAAAATCAAAGTAATATAGGTCACCGGCTAGAAACCACGGATACTCATCGGGGAGTCGCCGTGGCAGTGTCGGAGACGTGTCCGACACGGATACGCGTGTTCGATGGTCGAATACGTGTCCGACACTTGTAGAAGTGTCTTAAACAGTGGCTGTCATTTTTTTTGGTCGGATACGTGGGGGATACAACGGGATACTTTTGTTATTTCAAAAACTTAGGTAGGTCGAAACGAAAAAAAAAGACCAAAGATACGTCATTTTGGCTTGAAAAAGAAAAAATTAAAGTGTCGTTGATCTATGAACCGACACCAATCGACATTCGGTACGTTCGACAGAGAGAGGAGAGAAGAGAAAAGGAGGAGCTCGAGAATACCGGAGGAGGAGAAGAAGAAGAAGAGGGAAAAGGAATGGCGACTCACCTGCGCCTGCGATCGCGCGACTACGATCTTCTTCTTGTTTCTATTTTTTTTTTTCAGATCTCCGGCTACTCTTACCTCTTCATCTTCTGGTCTGTGTGGAGTGTGGACTTTCAAAAAATTTGATTAGGTTAATTTGATTGGGAATTTTTAGGATTTTGTTTTGGTCCAGTGTTGTGTTGCTTGCTGCCTTCAAGATTTTTTTTTGGTCTTGGTCATCTGTGTTGCTACCTTTCTGTGCTAGTGTGCTACTACCAACTGGTTTTAAACATTGAAAATTACTTTCCTAGCTTGTTGTCTTTCGGTGATGTGTTGCTTGCTGCCCGCTGGTTTTCTCTTTTTTGTTGTACTTCGGTCTTCTCTTTTTTTGTTATGCTTTCCTAGCTAGTTTTTTTTTTTGTCATCTATGTTGCTGCCTTCTGTGCTAGTGTGCTGCTGCCTGCTGGTTTTGAAAATTATATATATTTTTTGAATTTTGATCTATTTCAATTTAAGTAATGTTTTCTATGTCTTGTTTATTATTATTTATGTTGTTATTATATATATAATTATTTTAATTAGTCATATCCTCGCCGTACCCGTATCCTACATTTTGAAATTTTGGCGTATCCCCGTGTCCGTATCCGTGCTTCTTAGGCCACCGGCTTCATACCCCGTACCAATCTTCCTCTTCGTTTTGAGATCCTAAAAGACACAATAAGTGGGGCAAAAGGTTACAGAATAATTGAGAGAACGGGTAATCTTACTAATGGAAAGTAAACTAAAAGGAAATTGAGGAACAAATAACACGAATGATAGGGACATATCAGGACTCAAGTAAGTAGTTCCCAGACCTGAAACTTTAGAACAAGTACCATTAGCAAGAATAACACTACGTGTGGAAGTAGTAGACTGATAAGTAGAAAAAACATCAGATGCACCAGTAATGTGGTCAGAAGCACCAGAGTCTATGATCCAGGGACTGCGGATAGAGGACAATAAACAAGTGAAAGCAGTACCTGACTAGACAAAAGTAACAGTGAAGAGAGATGGAACAGCCTGTTGTTAGGACAAGAACTGAGCATACTCCTCTCGACCCAGTATAATAGTAGCTGACCCAGTGTCTAGTGGAGCTGACCGAGGTATGAAAACAACAACCGAGGTGTCATCCTAATTAGCAACACCCGAAGATTTTCCGTGTAAATCCCAACAGAAGTCAACAGTGTGTCCTCTACGACCACAGTGAGAACAGGAACGGGATCCACTGCGACCTCCACGACCACCCGTACGACCTCCTCGACCACCACGTCCACCTCGATGACTATCACTATGACTACTAGGAACCACAAGTACTGAGCGATCAGTGGAGACACCATGATCAATGCCTGAAGGAGTAGATAGTGTAGCACGCTGTAAACGAGAGAAAACCTCAAGCAGTGATGGAAGACTAGAACCACCCAAAATCTGAGAATGAATCTCATATTCAAGTTTCAATCCTACTAAAAATCTAATAACATTCAGGTCCTTATGTTGCTTCTATCAAACTGTTGCATCAGTAGTAAACGGATGGTAGGTCTTCATCTCCTCACAGACTCCCCGAACATGAGAGTAATAATCCGCAAGGCTCAGAGTACCTTGCTCCAACCGAAAGTACTCCTTCCACACCTCATACGCACGGGTAAAATTACTTGTACCAAAATACATAGTGGCCAAGTAATCCCATATCTCCTTAGCAGTGTCAAGGTAGAGTAGAGTAAAACTAATACTAAGCTCAATGCAATTCAATAGTAAAGAAATAATTTGAGCGTCCTCTTGCTCCCACTGATCATACCCAGGAGTATCTTCCTTTAGTTTAGGACCCACCAAATATTTCTTAAATTCTTTGCCTCGAAAAAAGACTTGAACAAATCGGGACCATAAAGTATAATTGGTTCCATTGAGTTTAACAGTGGTCATGGGACCATTAATAAGAGTCGAAGGGGGCAAAGATAGAGTAATGAACCTTGTATCTTGCTTGGGTTCCATAACAAATGGACCTTGCATGTTGAACCAGAAGAAAAGGGACTGTTGAAAGGTTGAACCAGACTGGAAAATAGGGCTGGACCACTGAATCGGTCAAGATAGGAGGGCTGGACCACTGAACCGGTCAAGATAGGAGGGCTGGACCACTGAACCGGTCAAGATAGGGGGGCTGGACCAATGAACCGGTCAAGATAGGGGGGCTGGACCACTGAATCAGTCTGAAAAAGGAGCTGGACCACTGAATCGGACTAGCTGAGCCCTATGGACTACTGAACCGGACTGACTAGGGGATCTAGACCGCTAAACCGGATCGAACCGGTCTAAGCTGGACCGAGTCTTGGGTTGGACCATGGGTTGAACTTAAAATAATGGACTTGACCTAATCTAATCCAACCTATTGAATCTCTTCTTCTTCGTTGAGATTAGGGTTCCTAGAGACCTGGTCTTCGACGGTGTCACACACCACCGCAGAAGCCACCACTGCGACCACCACACGTCCACCAAAAGTCGACTAAAGGCCCCAATATGGCCCCGATGTCGACAACGTTTCACAGCCGAAATCTCCACCGCAGAAGCCACAACACCACCGTAGAAGCCACCACACCACCACAACGTCTGAACTTCAACAGTAACACCACCAACCAAGGGTAATTTTCACATCACAAACTCACACTAAAATTTGTATTTAGGATCGTATGGCTCTGATACCATGTTAAGTTTAGAAGATTAATATAATAATATTAGAGACAATGTTTTGGGAGAAACAAAGAGAGATTAAAAACTTAACCTAACCCTCATACATCACTTGTATTTATAGGTAACTCATAATCATAAGAATTACACATACACACCCTCTTGTATTTACACATAATACCCTAACACTATTAATAATTTATATATACTACCCTAATACTCTTAACATGAACAATTCTCCAGCAAGGAGATGGAAAGATGCAAAGTTTCTGAACAAAAATTATACTGAAACACACATACTAGGAAACATGCATGTGCAAAGCAAACTACATACACAAGAGATAGTATTTTACCAATTAAAAATACTAGAAGCCTCTAAAAATATTTTCTGGACAGGGGAAAGTTCTATTGAGCAGCTCTTTATACTACCGTGTGTGAATGTGTACAAAGGTTCATTAGTCAGCATTACTTACTTCTTCGAGTATGCAGCCTCCACTTGGCAGCTAGTTGAAGTTCCCGAATCACCATCTAATCATGCAAACAGCATAGCAAACTCACAAAATTAGGAAATAGCTGGCCTAAGCGAGGCAATAAAACTTGGATTAAGTTCCAAAAACATACTTGCTTCCTTAATTTCAATAAAGTCCAATGGAGTGACTTTTTTGGTTTGAATTATTGGTGGGCACTGTGTACTTTGATAGCCGACTTCAAAAGCATCATCACCTTTCAGACTTTCACTTGCTTGTATGGTCATGAGAAGGTAAATTTAAGGGAGAAAAAGAAAGTCAACATGTGTTTAAAACACACAAAAAAAAAAATCGAAGAACATTAAAAGCATGAGCACTCACTGTTATAAACCAAATCTACATGGCAAATAATCCATAACTAAGTTACAATTGTCAAATTGAGTTTTTTATTCATATAATGCCATCTTTCTAGACTTTCTGGATGTAAACAGCATCTTAGACCAAACTTTTTTGAGAATTTTGACACATTGGCAAATAGGTAGTGTGACAAGCTAACCACATTGTACTTGTAAAAAAAATGTCAAAGATAATGACCCCAGAAAAGAAGTAACCCTGGAAGTTGGCCAATAGTTTCAAATCGAATGTTGATTCAAAATCAAAGAATGGTTTTAGACAAGAAACGGAATTTACAAAATTGTCAATGACTATGTTGAGAACCCAGAAGGTCTTAGCTACATGTCCCATCATTATGTTTGATCTAAAATCTCAACCTCTAAAAAAGAGAGATAATAGAGAGGAAAGAGCAACCATTGCGTCTTTAAGAAGTTACAAAAGTGATAGATACACTTACAACTGGGGCAACTGAACTTGCATTCCTGAGCAGCTGTGAACAAGTTCAGTAAACTAAGAATATCCAGTGATCGATTATTACTTTGATGTTGACTGTAGGTGCTTGTTCCATCTGAATAGCTCTCTTGCCCAGCCACCTGTTGCTGTTGTCGTTTTCTTTGCTCAAAATACTGCTTTTGCCTAGGAGAACTCATGCAAAAAAAGGTCAATCTTCATACATTGATACAAGCTTTCAACAAGATTAGTGTAAAGGAATAAGACTGCTAGTTTTATTATCAAATGCAGATAATTGGAAACATTTCTGTACCTTTTTTGCGTTGACTGTCTTGACTGAATTTTCCCATGTCAGAGCAAACAATTCCATGCACCCAGAAACACAAGAAACATATACTCAAATAAACTTGATTTTACTAGAGGCAAGCTACAACATCATAACTATATATGTCACAGTCTTATCAATCACATAAGCCTCAAATTATTGACAAGAAGGTGAGGAAGAGGTCAAATTCTGTTTTATTAAAATGTGTTAAGAATATATAGATTGTATATGCTAACTAAGTAAAATGAGTGTGAGAAGAACTTCACCTGCCATATAGCATGTCATATACCAACGGATTCTACATGTTTGGTGTTATAACGAACTACTAAAAAGTAAGGTACTCAGGTAGTCTTACACCAGAAAGGAGGAAAAGATGTATGTTCTAACTATTTAAAAACTGGTATGAACTTCAAGGCAAACTTGAGCTTCTCATGACTTCCCTCCACTATCTCCATCTTTTCCAATACAAGGTTTGGTTTCTAATAGCATCGGGCCCAATAATACTTTCATGAATCCCGGAACAATCCCAATCAACAGTCCGTAACACTACACGATTTCAAAAAGATTTCCAGTAAAAGTAATTCAATCTGATCGTTTTGGAAATCACTGTGGTACAGCATTCGATTTCTTCAAAATAGAAAATTCTCTTTGTTGGGAAAAAAACACGGGATTCATAAAAGGAGTATAAATATTAAGTTTACATTGCACTTACAGTTGCCACTTTCCTCCTTGATCCTCCCATCCATTGCAACATTGTCGGGTATAGAATACGTGACCCACCGCCTCAACAAAGCAAAAACTGCCTGCACAACCAACCAATGTTCCGAAGATAAAAATTATTACGACAATTCGGAGGATTATTCAAATTAAATAATAGCAGAAATTAATCAGAATACAGTCCCAAAAGATTCAGAGCAGAAACATTGCGACTGAAGTTACAATCTTTTATGTGGAGGATACACTTACTCAGATTGTTCAACTGTGTCGATGGAAATTCAGTGCAAGATCCTCCGGAAAGACTGAGTCGATCGAAATTTAGTGCAAGATGTGCCGATCGGAATTCAGCGCAAGATCCACCGAAAAAGACACTGCCAATTGAAATTCAGCTGAAGATTCAACGGAAAACAAAGGTTCAGTGCAAAAACATTGCCGCTGAAAAATTGATTCCCACTCTTTTCAATAGAGGAGACAATTACTGAGATGCTGACAGTGTCGATCACAATTCACTACAAGATCCAATGGAAAGACTGTATCGATCGAGTTCTGCACAAGATCTAACGAAAAACAATCAATGAAAGAGCACCGACTCACAGATTCTGAAAATTTTAGTTGTCTACAAGAACTCACATTGTTCGACTATGTCGATCGAAATTCCGTACATACGAAAAGCACTCAGATTGAAATTTTTCGCTGTTGTTTCAAAGTTGTTGTGATCGCACGCACTCGTAATGGAGGGAAAAGGCGGGAATTTAGCCCGTTTGGTGTTTTGGGAAGCTTCCTGCACCTTTCTGGCTTATTAAATAGAAGGAATTCATGGCGGTTCACTTACCCAAAAAAAAAAAAAAAAAAAAGAGGGAAACGATTTAAAATAATTTGATTAATCACAATTATTGAATATGCAATAAATTTTAATAAATATTAAAAATTATATGTATATATGTGTACACTAAAAAATAGATTAATTATAATTTTTTATTGAAAATGAGGTTAATCATACATTGATAGTGTTGTCTGATGATTTGATTATTAATGACTTATAAAATTAATATTAAAATCACATATATGTACACTAAACAATATACAACGTATTTTTTATTTTAAAATCTTGTTAGTAAGACAATAAATCTCTGATAGGTTTTAAACTCAATGTTAAAGTGCACATCAGTAGTAAATGGTCAAATTAATCAAAAGAATTTAAAATGAACCCAGTATGTCTAAATTACTTTGAATATGTATGAAGTGTGTCTCCTACTAGTCATTTAGATATAAGTATGTACTAATTAATATAATAAGAAAATAGAGTAACGCTATAGGAAATTAATTTAGTGCAATATTTGAATTAGTTGTGAATTTCAATGTTAGAATAAACTCTCTTCTAATTCAATGGCTATATTAGATTGTGTCCCCAAATTAAGATCACAAATTAAGTCTTAATAATATTTGCTAAATAAATAATAAGATGGACATAATTATATATACTTAAAAAAAATATAATACCTAATGGTAAAACAAAAAAATTGAGAGTTGACACATGTTTATCTTGATCCTTAGTGGCTCTGCTAATACACCTAGCATTGCTCAAAAAGAATAAAAAAAAAAAAAAAGCAACGAAATGCAGTTGTAAATTTTTTTATTGTTTATTGTTGTTTTAAATTTATTCAATACCATAAGATAATATTTTTTGAATGCATTTTAATAAATACACTTTATTATAAAAAAAACTATGATTATAAAACATGCTTTCAGTGTCATCAAATACAATTATGCAAACAATCTTTTTGAGAATCACATAAATGACTTTTAAACTTTAGTTTTTGTTTTTAATTGCCCTTTTAACTTTTAATTTTTTTAATTTATATCTTAAATTATTTAAATCATTTTAATCAGTATCTTCTATTAAATTTAGACATTAACTAGGGATGAAACTCTAACGTGAATTACAAATTAAAGCCAGTGGAGGGCATTGTCAGTTTTTTCAGGTGTTACGTACAGTTGGTGTTAATATCTTTTCTTCTTTACCCTCGATTACTCAAACCCCTACCGTTTTCCCACCCATTCTCGCGCGTACACCGAAGCTGTCCACTAGAAAGAATCATAGAAAATTGATGTCGGACACATTACTGACGAGAAAATTGATTTTCACTTGTTCTCCCCCTAATTTCTCCCTTAAGCCCTAATCATTCTCCTTCTCTCTTTATCTTCGTCGAAAAAAATCCACTGTCACACCCATAGCAGCCCAAATCGACACGCCTAAATTGACGCCACCATAACAATGCAAATCATGCCGCCATAGCGTTGTCGAATTATTGAATGCCACCCAAATCGATGCCATGACATCCCACCATAACTTGAATTCTGATGAATTAGAGTGTTCAAAGATATTTTTTGTGAGTTGATGTTCACTATAATTTAGAATGAATTTCTCAATGGATTTGGCTTCTAAAACATTTATGTTGTTCTAAGTTTTGTAAAGCTTATTTTGATATTTTTTTAGCAATGTATACTTCTCCTCCACTAAGCATATTGGGAATTGGTTTTTGAGGTTTTAATTTAATAGATTCATCAAAATCATATGGTTTTGAATTTGCCTTCCCTTTTTGATTAAAAATTGGTTTGAATTAAACAAATACTGAGTTTTTCTTTTGTAAAATCTTCTAGTGGGTTTTTTAAAATCTTGATAGCGTTCTCCATCAATGATGACTGACATTGATTTTAGGTGATGAACCACCAAAGAAGATGAAGAAGAGAGAGAGAGAGAGAGAGAGAGAGAGAGAGTGGGGCAATTTGAGAAGATAGTAGGCGCCAACTATACATAAATACCTAAAATACTGAAAATGCCTTTTACCAGATTCCACCTGCAGTTCACATTAGGGTTTCATCTATACTTGATGCCTGAATCTAATAGAAGGTCTTGACTAGAATGAATTAAATAGTTCAGGGGATAAATTAAACAATTAAAAGTTTAAGGGACAATTTCAAATAAAGACTAAAATTTAAGGGCCATTTATGTGGTTTACCCTTTTGAAAACATGTTATTTTAAACGTGTCTTTGGTAAAAAAAAAAGTGTCTCTTAAATGTGCTTTTGCTTTCTAAAGGTGTATTTAAAAAACGCATTTGAAAAAAAGGAGTATTTTTATGATTTATCCATGGAGCTCGACTCAATCAGTGTGGTCCCAATATTACATTGCATGTATCGTTCTAATTTCGGATTATCAAATATTTTAGTCTCAATTTAAATAATTTATTTGTAAATAAATTAAAAAAGATTAATAAATATGTGCATAAATTAATTTGAATATTTTAATTATTAAAATAAAAAAAGAATTTTTGGTCATAAATTATAGTGGGTGACTATTTAATTATACTAGAGAGGGGGAGTTTAACCACAGTAAGGCGACATTAGTGGGGAGTAATGGTTGTGTTTGTGACGTAGCGGGTGGGTGGTGCTACTACTAGGTAAATATTGTGTGTAAGAGTGATATAATATCTTTATATTTAATGTAAATTTTACTTAGGTAATTATTAAATAATATAATAAAATAATTATTCCTTATTTATTATGTTTACCATTATGCCCAACATTTTTTCGTTGCTGCCGACCAGAAGACCCGAATGTTTCGTGGATTCCCCAGGACCTGTGTGACTGTCAGTTACCAAAATCTAGCGGACGCCGACATATACTTGGGTGTAGTTATCTCAATGTTGGGTAGGTAACCTAGTCTATCACTGTCCAAAGGGACGCACACGCACAGGAAAGAGGGTACTACGAGTAAGCTGGGAGGAGGCGACCCACGGCCTCGCTGTGTCTTCAAGTGTCGTGCATGCATTTTTGTGGATCTGTTTTCTTTGCATGCACATACGCTCTCTCTCTCTCTCTCTCTCATCCTCTGTCTCTCTCTCTCTCTACATCTGCATACTTTCTGTGCTATCATTAACCCCTTCAGCCCCACCACCACCACCACCATCGTTTCAAACCCACCATTCACCGACCTCCACCTTCACTGTGTGGAGTCTGTTGACCCACTTCATCTTTTCAGATTCCTTCTAAGATTTGAAGTTTTGGAGTACGATTTCAAGTCTTGAGTCCTTTGTAACTCCCATGGTGTTCATGTGAATGTCACATTCCAGAGATTTGAAGCAGGTGAGTTATATTACAATTTTAATCTGTGACTTTTAAATCTTTACTACCGTGCTTTGTTGAGTTTGATTTGATCTCGAGATTTGTTGAATAAAAGATTTATGAACAGGGTTTTTAGGGCTTTAATTCGAATTTTGCTGTTTGATAAAGATTTGATTTAGGATTGATTTGGGGCAATGGGTTCCAAGATTTGCATGAATGAAAAGTGCCAGGCAACGACGTCGCCTGAATGGAAGAAAGGTTGGGACTTGAAATCAGGTGGATTTGCAACTCTCTGTTCCAACTGCGGGTAATTTCCTAGTCTTAATTTTAGTCGTTTGTTGTTCAACATTTCATTTATCAGTTGCATCTGGGTAGGGTCCCCCGCCCCCCCTAAAAACACACACCACCAAAATACACACAGACACACACACACATATATATTTGATTTCCTTTTTCATGCCAAAATATTCTTATTTCTGACTTACTAGTTTTTGTGCCATATTACTTCCAGCCCCCTTCTTTTTTTTTTTTCCCTTGTGGCTAATTTCGGGTCTGTGGATTTTTTTTTTGGGAAAAGAGTACTGTAATTGCATAGCAATGCCTAATTATAATAACTTTGGTCTTTAGTTCACATTTTCTTTTTCCCATCCCTGAAAGAAATAACTCCAGGTTGGAGGCAAGACAGAGCACTAAAGAGGATCCCAATTTGAATAATTGGCCCAAAGACATGACCTTTAATGGTAGTTTTTCTTCTTTTTCTTGACTTTTTGATTTTATATATTTGAAATTATTAGCTCTATTAGTAGTTTGCCAAGATCCTAAATTGGCGGAGGGATAAATAACACTTAGCCGTGAAAGCGGAAGGGCATAATTTTTCAAAACGAATTACATTATTGGAAAAAAAAGAAAGATTATAGTTTGCCAACCCTTGTCCGTGTCACTACTGGCACAGCACTGGAAACGGTGGCCCGAGAACAGGGGCCTAACACATCTGTAGTGATTCTTGGGAACAATAGTGTGGCTACTCTTTTCAATTTTTTTACACTCATTTGTAGTCATACTCGTTACCTTGATTTTTTTGTGTAGATTTCCTCGGTGGGGTGGGGTGGGGTAGGCGGATAGTAGATGGCAAGTACATTTCCTGTCCTTTCTCATCATTCTTTCGGAGACCACCTTGTTGTTTGATCAAGTTAACCTGTAAATGGTTTTACTCATAACTTGTTTAATTTTGAAGTGAAGTCCTTCAAACTTGAACTTTCAAAAGGTTCGGTCATTTTTTTCTCTCTGCACCATTCACATTGTGGAAAAGATGCATTGCTTCTTCTATGAATAAAATCAATTTTGCGCCCCCCCCACGCGCACACATTTTTTCTCAGCCTATAGCTTTAATTATTTTTTTTGGGTGAATATCTGTTTATATTTATATTTTTGATTATATTTTATGTTTGGCCTTTAATTGCTGTGGCCTCTTTGGACTTTAGATCTACCTATGAGAGTTCAGTGTTCTGCGAAACGTTCCATCTAGAGGAGGATGGTTGGAGGAAATGCAAATTATGTGGAAAGGTAATTAAATAGCTTGATTGTCCCTTATTTTGTCCAAACTTCAATTTATGTTCTGCACAATATGTCAATTTGAATTTGGATGGCAGCATATCCACTGTGGATGCATTGCTTCAAAATATTTGCATGACTACATGGATTCTGGTGGTGTAGGGTGTATAAGCTGCGCAAAAGATGTTGACAATCACTCAATGAGACCAGTTGAGGTATTCAACAATTTCACAGTTGCACAGGTTTAACTTATTCAAATGATAAACTGCATGCATCTAATTTCTTTTTTTGGCTCATCAGGCATGCCTTCAGATGAAATGTGATACGTTTTTGTAGAGGGTGCATGTGCTCTACATGTGAATACAGTCACTATTGTAATTGTAAAAACTGCCTAAAGTGGATTTGTAGGGTTATTATACCGGTAACCTTAGGAGTGCTAATTTTAGATCAGAAACTTTGTCGCTAGTCACCTGCATCCATGTTGAACCATACTTACAGATGAGGGCTTTAAATTTTTTTAACTTGACATTCCCTTTGTGAAAGTAAGCTCCAAGCTTCCAACTAAGTTGTTTGATCATTATCAGGAGGTCAAATCTCCCCTTGCGGAAACCCCCACAGAATTTGGTCTGTGCTTGCTGGTTTCCTGGCTCTTGTGGGGTGGATTGTGTACCAAGGACTAGTCAGATGATCTGAGAAGACCTGAAACCGGTGGTGTAGTTATTATTTTTTTTTTTATCATTATCATTTTGTGTATTTTCTTTGCCTCTTATTATTTTTACACTAGTCTGGTGGTGTAGTAGAACTGACTTTCTTTTGTCAGGGAAAATAAATGCTATTCTTTTAGCCTTTTGTTCTTGAATTTTTTTTAATATAGTGACTGTTCTTTTTACCTGAGACGTAGCAAATTTTGGTCATCTTATCTATATGTTTCCTAAATTGAAATGTTGATAATACTATTAGGAATGTAATATTTTTTTACCTGACATTTTTACTCCTATAATATGTTCGTCACACATATTTTTATCTCAGTGCCTTTCTTTCTGTTTGACAACTTGTTATGCAGATCCCAAGCGATGATGTTCTTCATGGATATGGCAGATTGAGGGTACTAGCCAATCTGCAATCCTGCAATGTTGATGCAACAATAGATTGCAATGGCTTTGAAACAGGGAAGCTCATGCAGTTAAGCAATGCCATAGAGGAAAATCAGCATAGCCCCTTCCCTCAATGTCAGAAGGGTGACACGAATATATCTAATGGGCAGGTCAAACCAGATGACAAGACACATCCTACTGGGGAAGGTGGCATAGGGTTTCCAAGTCTCATCCAACAGTCAGTTGGACAATCTAGATTTTCCAATTTAGGTAGCAGTGGGCCAACGCTAGGCCTTGAAGATATGTATGAGTCAGTAGCTCAGCCATCCTTGAGGTTCTCTTTAAGCACTTCTTTATGCTCTCCAAATCCTATATTGCCTTTTCCTGGTGAGGTTGCCGAAGGGAAAGAACAGAACAAAGTTCCTCTCTTGCAACAAGGGCAGAAGACAAGACATATTTTGCCGAAGCCCCTCAAGGCTGGCCTCAACATTAGCTCAGAGGCAAAAAAAGGGAAAATTTCTCAGCCACTCATTGCGAGGCCTCCTGCCGAAGGGCGGGGCCGCCATCAATTACTCCCACGATACTGGCCAAGGATTACAGACGAAGAGTTGCAGCAGTTATCTGGAGAGTATCCTTAATTATAGTTAGTTCCAGTAGTAGAGCCATCTACTGATCTACATGTTAATATTCTTTTCTTTCTGTATTTATTGATACAAATGTAGTTTCCACCTTAAATCTGTTGTCTTAAAGTTTAAATTCCACTATTGTGCCATTGTTTGAGAAGGTTTTAAGCGCTAGTGATGCTGGTCGAATTGGTCGTTTGGTCCTACCCAAGGCATGTGCTGAAGTAAGTTTTTACTTGTTTTTCCTTTTCCCTCCTTGTTTCTTCCATGGAACTGAATTCCTGAAAATTGGGAATGGTTGCAGGCTTATTTTCCTCGTATATCTCAATCAGAAGGTGTGCCAATTAGGATTCAGGATATTAAAAGGAAAGAGTGGACATTTCAGTTTAGATTTTGGCCTAATAATAACAGCAGGATGTATGTTTTAGAGGGCATCACCCCTTGCATACAGAGTATGCAACTACGAGCTGGTGACACTGGTATTCTTCATGCCATTTGTGCTTGAATGTGGTTTATGATTTGCATATTTTCATCCTGTGTTAGTTATGCCGCTATTTGTTGTCCTTTTATATTAATTTGCATCATTAAGTCACTTGGTCAAAGTTTACAAAACCTGTATATATAATCCTTGTGATGCAACTATGGGGTGCTAACATTTCTGTAGTGTTTGGGCTATCTTATTTCAAATTTTGATATAATTTTTTTGGCTTTTATAGTCTTCTGTAGCTAGTTTTAGTTACTCCTGTTTGGATAGTTCAATGTTTCTTATGATCGTTGGTTCTTTAGGTTCATTATTGATTGCTAACAGCAACAGGTGTAAGAACCTGCTTGTTTGTAATTATATCCATAACAATCTCCTCAACAGGTTTGTGTTTTTACTTTCATTTGTGGAATATTTTCTTTGTATTGCCCATGAGATTTTAAAATGACAGCTAATATCCTACATGTGCTTTTTTTTTTTTTTTCATGAATTTGGATATTGCCATCTTCTGATTTATAAGATATCTGTTCTCCTTAGAATGCATAGATATGTTGCATTGACGAATCCTGATGCAAAAAACCTAGGCCTCTCTGTTTAAATTGTTAAATCTGTAACATTGGTTCTCAATAGGAGTTAATCCACCCACATCTTTTAATGCTTTCTCGATCGTATTTTTTGCATATTTATTTCCTTTTTTTGTACAGTGACATTTAGTCGAATAGATCCTGAAGGCAAACTTGTTATGGGCTGTCGAAAGGCAACAATTGTTGGCGTGCAGGTCAAGCTTTAGTGAATTGTTGCTCTCTCTTCCACTACCTATTCTCTTTACATTTTTTTTCTCCTTTTGTGGTAGCAAACTCGTAAACTTTTTGCATGAACAAACAGGATGCCCAAACATCTTCCCTTCCCAACGGTTGTCATTCTGGAGAAACTTCATTTTTTGTTGTTAATGAAAGCCCGCCTCCTGTAAGTGGTTCTCTGCCTTCCCCAATCGCTAAAAGGAAGCTAGAATCCTTACCTGATTCCTATGTCTAATTTCGCATTTTGGCTGATTGGGATCCCTTTAATTGGCATAATAGGAGAAGCATGGGGGCAGAATAAACAAGGATTTGTTAGAGCAGCCCATGCTGACTCTGGAAAAGAAGGGGACTCAAAACATTGGGAAAAGCAAGAGACTGCACATTCATAGTGAAGATGCTTTGGAGCTGCAAGTCACATGGCTAGAAGCACAGGATCTGTTCCGCTCATCCCCCGGTGCCAAGCCAACCATAGTCATGATTGAGAATCATGATGTTGAAGAATATGATGTAATCATAGATCCCTTTGGAACAATTAATGTTTATTACAAATATGCCAATTCGTCTCGTTATTCTTTTTTGATACAAAATATACTCTTTAATGATACTTTGGCTTGTTGGGGATCTTGAATTTTGATTAATGTTTTGTTTAGGAACCACCAGTTTTTGGAAAGAGGACTCTATTCACAGCCCAAGCATCCGGGTAAGGTTTCATAGTTTATTTTCTTACCTTAATAAATTTTTCCCAGGGGCTGTAACTGATTAACATATTCTGGTGGAACCTTTGGCCAAAAGATGTTTTGTCATGTTTGTAATCTCCAATCCAATTGTTTGAACTGCTTATTTGTCAACTCTCCAATTAGGGGGAGTTGAAAGATGTTCTAAATAGTACATAATCGGTCTGGACACCTCAGCAAGCCTGCTTTTTTGAAGAAAATATGGGGTTCGAGAAGCGGAAACCAGCTCCCGGCCAGCAGAAGTCTGCGTACATCTAATCCTCTTTAGACCCCGCAATTGCAGGAGCCTCATGCACAAGGACTCCCCCCCTCCCTCTCTCTTGCTAACATGTCCAGATCCAGACCGTCCTACAGGTAACTGGGAGATTATTGGACAGCTGAAGGATCCACTTGATTGGAACCTTGGTCATTGGTCTTATTGGCAATTTATTAGTGAATTTTCAAATGGCTTAGGTGATGTCTGATTAAATGACCCACTGAGGTTTCAAAATGCATTGGGCCTGTTGAAAGTTTTTGAGGGTTATGGAACTTACTGTTAATTGACCCCCTCAAGTCTCTACAACTAAGAGATGAGGGGTCAGTTAATTAAGCTGGTGGTTTACTTGCTTAAAGTGAGCAAAACTTGGTAGACTTTGCTCTAAATTAGAAGAGTAGAAATCAAACAAAAAAAAAAAAAGAAAAGGAAAGAAAAGGGAGAGGCAAATGAGAGGCCACTTATCATGGAATGAACTTCATATTTCTTGGTGAATTTTTATGGACTTAAAACATAAGAAGTAATACAAGCCATAAACTAATTTTCTGAAAAAATTGATATAATCTCATATTTTTAATCATATGAAAAATAAAATTGATTGCTTAGCATCATCAATAGATTGTTTAGCATCATAGGTATTTTATCAGCTTATGGCTTGGCATTGGGTAAGAAATCAAACATGAATGTATTGGGTTATCATCACTAGGTGACTAGAAGGATTTCTTACAAGTAATAGGAGCCATAAACTAATTTTCTGAAAAATTTGGTATAATCTCATAATTTTAATCATATGGAAAATAAAATAGATTGTTTAGCATCATCTGTATTTGATCAGTTTATGTCTTAGCATTGGGTAAGAAATTAAACATGACTTTATTTGGTTATCATCATTGGTTGACCAGAGGGTTTCTCTGGACGAAATTATTTCTTTCTAAATTTCTTTGACGTATATTTGTGAAATATTGTGTTGGTTGGATTTAGAATTTAGTATTATGTAGTTGATTTGTGAAATGGTATGAAATTGAGCCATAATAACATATATCATTTATGTTTGATTGACTCACACCATTGGTTATACTAGAGAAATATGTGAGTCAAAAGGATACAAAGTAAGTGTAGAGCTCATATATATAACCAAACAATAGTATAAAAAAACCTGAACATTCCTTTGGTCTAGGCAAGACATAAAAGTCATAGTAAGGGTAAAAAAGAAAAATCTTAATAAACTAGACTATAACTCCAACCCTCCCCCTCAAGGTTGGCACAAAAATGTTAACTAAGCCAAGCTTGACAACGGAGTTTCGAAAAATAAATAGAGTGACAGGTTTGGTGAAGACATCTGCAACTTGATCAGTGATTTCCACAAACGATAGAGTGACAATTCCACAACGAACCTTCTCCTGAAGAAAGTGAATATCGACCTCTATATGCTTCATCTTCTTGTGTACTACAAAATCAGAAGAGAGCTAAATAGTAGATCGATTGTCGCAATATAAGGTGGACAGAGAAGTCATTAAAAGTCCCAACTCACCAAGAATCGATCATAACTAAATAATCTCAAATGTGTCAAGTGCCAGTGTTCGATACTCTACCTCTACTGATGAGCGGGAGACAACTGTCTAATTTTTACTCTTCCAATAGATAAGATGAGTCCCTTAAAAAGTACAAAAGCCCGTAGTAGATCAATTGTCACATGTTTTCTCATAATCTGCATTTAATAACAGGCTAGAGAACCAGTCTGAGATCCTGATGCATAGAACAATCCAAGTCCAGGATAAGGCTTAAGGTACCAAAAAATATGATAAACTGCATCAAGATGAAATTGACATGGCTTGTGTATGAACTGACTAACTCGATTGACAACAAATGAAATGTCTGGCCTAGTGTTAGCTAGGTAGATACGTCTATTTACCAACTTTTGATAGATAGTTAGATCTCTCGACTCCTCACCTTCAGCAGTAAGCTTCATGCTTGGAGTCATGAGTGATGATGCCAGTTTGTACCTCAACATTCTAGTGTTTGAGAGAAGATTCAGAATATACTTCCTCTAAGAAAGAACAATACCCTGCTGCTACGGGCAATCTCAATCTCAAGAAAGTATTTTAGAAATTCAAGATATTTCATACCGAAGGCCTTCCCAGGTCTACCTTGACTTGCGTAGTTTTAGAAATATCATCCCCACTAATAATAATATTATCCACATATACCAAAAGAATGATACAGTCTAGAAGTATTCCGTTGAATGAAGCATGTATGATCAGAATGACATCTGGTAAACCTTAAATGTACAACTACACTAAACCGAGAGAACCATGTTCGTGGTGAATATTTCAGTCCATAAAGAGACTTATACAGTCGACATACCTTCCAAGCATATTTTCCCTCACCACGAAAGTTCGGTACATCCATATAAATAGTCTCTTTCAGATCACTGTGAAGAAACGCATTCTTCACATCTAATTGATGAAGAGGCCAAGAGTACTTCACAACTAGAGAAATAATCAACCGAACGGTAGTTAATTTTACCACGAGGGCAAAGGTAGCACTAAAATCTCGACCTGATACCTGAGTAAAATCCTTTGCCATAAGCCTAGTCTTGTGACGATTAATAGTACCATCCGCAAGAAACTTCAGGTTATAAACCTAGCGACAGTTAACAGGCTTCACCCCTGAAGGTACGTTGAAGAGCGTCTATCTCTGTTTGCAAGACAAGAACCCATCGGGCTCTCGCATAGTCTTTGAAACAGAGCGAGGAACTGGCGTATCTAATAAGGCCATATTATAAGCTCAAAATTTAGGAGACAAATCACCTTAAGAAACATAACCAAAGATCGAACATAAAGTCCTAGAGGTCTAATCATAACGAACAACTGGATGACAATCACGACGGAGCTAACGACGCCCTAAATCATCATCCTCAACTGACAATGTCTAATTAGGTAAAGTAATTGGCTCACTATATGCAATTTCATCAGTATTAACAATAGTTACATCAATATGCTCAACGAACTAAGAAATATTACCTGCATTGCCTGAGATAGAAGGGATATCAGTAGGGGATGAGAGCGAGGCAACGAGCATAAACTTGTAAAGGAAGAGAGATTGGTGACTCTGTAGTGACATTGACCAGTGGTTCTTGCTTTTGTGATAAGGAAAAATCAAAGGGAATATCATCAACTAGAGGGTAGACACATGTCTAGAAGAAAAATAAGAAATATGCTAAAAAAAAATAATATCTAGATTGTGACACATACGACGCCAGATAGGATCATAACACCGATACCCTTTAGACTGATGACAATAGCTCACAAAGGCACAATGAATCATTTTATCGTTAAGCTTATGGCGAGTACGAGACCAATCCTGAACAAAAATGTGCAGCCAAAAATACGAGAGGAGACCGAAAAAAGTGTTCGCTCAGGGAATAAGACCTGTAAGGAAGTCCTGTGCTAAAGAACATGACTCGGTGTACGATTGTACAGAAAGGTAGAAGTCAAAGCAGCAAAATACCAATAAGATATTGGTACCCTCATACCTCTAAGCATACAACGTACTATCCCTATTAGACTCTTATTTTTTCTTTTAGCAATTCTATTTTGCTCAGGAGTATATGGGCAAGTGAACTGCTGAAAGATACTCTGAGAAAAAAGGTGAGACACTAAGGCATCAAACGCATTCTTTGGCATTATCCGAACGAAGAGTACGAACAATGACATTGAATTGTGTCTTAATTATTTGGAGAAACTAAGTGATGACATGGAGTATATCGAACTTCCTATGCAAAATGTAAAACCAAGGATAACGAGTATGGTTATCTATAAATGTCACATAGTATCGAGCACTTGACAGAGCAGTAGTAGGAGAGAGTCTTCAAATATCATAGAATATTATGTCAAATGGCCTGGGTGACTGGTTCATGCAAAGAATATGATTGGTCCTAACATGTTTCGATAAGGAGCATATCACACAGTCAAGTTTGTCACCAACATAAGCATTGCTCAAAGCAGGAAACAACATATATAAATATTTAAAATTTGAATTCCTAAAATAGTGATATCACAACTGAACAGTTTGTGACAAAAAATCATAACGACAAGTACTAGGTAAAATACTAGCATGCAAGCTTGAAACAAATAAATATAAAGCAGGTGTAGGTGATATAGGTGTAGGATCTGGTGAAATTGGAGGTGGATTGCCTAGATAATATAGTCCATTTCTCTCATGTCCCCTAATAATAATTCTCTTGGTACTCAGGCCCTACAAATAACACGGATCAGATAAGAACACAACCATGCAGTAAAAATTTCTGGCTAACTAATATATAGATAATAGATTCATGACCAGCTTTGGCGTATGAAAAATCGAGCGTAATGTAAAATCATCTGGGAGGCGGATTGTACCCCTAATAAATAATAGGGGCATGTGTCTTATTTGTTAACTGAACCTGTGTATGTAACTGCTCATCAAAAGTAGTGAAGTGATGGGCCTCACCAGTCATGTTATCATTCGCACCCGAGTCCAGTATCCAAAGGGGAGATGGACTGACGCAAGCATGAAAGACACGAGGTATACCTATAGTGGTTGCAACAATAGTTGGACCCTGAAAAATCAAGGCTGACATAAGTATATCAAATCGGAAAGTGATAGCATCTATATCACTCTCCCAAGAAGGAGAAGGAATAGTAGTTGCAAGAGCAGCGACAATAGGTGGTGGTACTTCAGCAATAGCAGTAATGTGGTCACGAGGAGGCGACTTAAGCATCGGATGGAGCTTCCAATATGCAGCCTTGAGATGTCCTGATCGGCCACAATAATCACACTGATGAGAATCTCCTTGTCTGTGCTGATTTAGGGCGCCCAAACGGCACTAGTCCAGGCTCTGTCCACTGCTGGCTGAGGGTCCTGAACGAGATCCTGTAGCAAATGCTAGGGCCATTTGGTCAGCCTGAGGAGCCAAGGTCATAACTAGAAGTAATACAATACAGACACGACGCTCATGTTGCTCAATCATCACATACACCTCATAAAGAGACGGAAGTCTCATCATCGATAAGATCTGGGAATGAGGTTCTTCAAACTCATCACGAAGTCCCATAAGAAACTTGAGAATTCTATCATCTTACTCTCGAGTATGTAGGAATGCTGCTCTTTCAGGCTCTATCCTTGGAATAGTAGTAAGAGGACGTAGAGTCTCATACGCAAGTCAGTGCTGTGTCAAATAGTCATAAAAATCATGAACTGTCATATCTATAGTTTCGAATAACGCCCGTTCTGTAACGTAACGCCCCGTTCCGTAACGTAACGCCCGTTACATAATGGTATCAGTGGGCGGCGTTTCCGTTACGGAGCTATATAACGGCTAGAATAAAATTCACTTCAGTAACGGTCGTTACCGGGTTGTAACGGGTCGACCCGTCTAAACTTTGCCCTATTTTTCCTAATTTTGCTCAAAGTCATAACAATTTTTACAAAAAAAAACTCAAATTGCAAGCCATGCCAAATAAAGGCCATGAATTTTAGCTAAAACAATTTGTTTGGTAAGAAAAAACTCACAAAATACTACAAAATTGATGAAGCCCACCAATCAATACCGATAGAAGTCACTCTTTTTGGCAGCGACAACACTAATTTCTCAAACAATTACAGTTGACTTTGCCATGGGCACCATTACATTGGCCACAAAGCACCACAGAGTTTACAGACGAGGAAGGTCATTTGCTCCACCGTTTCTTCTATCCTGTAGTTGATCAGCTGCAGGTTATTGGGGGCGAGAAATTGGTAGCCAACGATAGAGAGAGAAAAGACAATAATACAACATTTTGCACTTCTCACCACTGTAGATTAGGTGGTATGTGTGTAAATGATAAGGCTGCCACCCGTCCAAATTTGAGTGAAGAGTTGGACATTTGGAGAACTTACTTCCTGTACACGTGTTGGGTATAACTATTAAATGTGTGTCAAATGGGTCTAGGCGGGTCAAATGAATTAAAACATCTTTTGATTTTTATATCTTTTTCTATTAATTTTTTCTTCCCCCTTGACTTAAAATCACTATAAAATTGTATGTTTAAGCTAAGATATAAACTAAAATCATTTAAGATCTAAAGTAACTCATAATGATATAATAAAATAAATTATAAACCACTAAAAACTTATATCTCAATAGTTTTTGAGTTGAAATATACATAAATTCATTTTTAGGAGGAATTGTGAATGAAAATTAAATATTCACGAATCCGGTTTTCGTTACCGTTACGTAACGTCCGTTATATCCTGCGTCCGTTACAATGTTACTGTTACCGTTATGATAGCCGTTACTGTTATTTAGAACCATGGTCATATTTCCTTGCCGAGCATATGAGAGCTCCTGAGAAAGTTCATAAATACAAACTTCATATCTTGATTAGGAATACATATTTGATAATGTGTTTCATAGTTTTGGAACAGAACTATGAAACTGGTAAATCTTACAAATAGATGGCTCCATCGAGTCAAATAACCATTCAAGAATAGCGCAGTTCTCAGAGAATCACGCAGAATATCCAGGGTCGTCATCAACTAGGTTTGGGTGAAGTCTTGTTAGCCAATCAAACTTCCCTACACGGCCTAAGAAAAATTGGAATGAGCGGGACCACTTAGTAAAGTTACGATCATTCAACAACTGTGCTGTAACCTTCTGAGAGATTATGCCCGGCATTGCCAGCAATGCAACTGTGCCAGTAGGTATTGTATACTAGTTAAACAGAAAAGTGGGAGAACCAGGTAGTACATTTAAGGTGGAAGTACTAACGATGGGGTCTCAAGTTTCTCAATAGTGGCCATATCAACAACAATACTTGGGCACCCTTGACAAAAAATACTCTAAGATAAATAGAGAGATAAAATAAGGGAGCACAATATACCTCCAGTCGAATAGTAACGACAGATAAAGAAGGTCCTGAAAGCTCCCAAATAATCAAGTCACGGTGTCCAGAAATTCAGTAAATATATAAGTGATTTACTACGTCAAAAGCAGATCAACGGAGAAGAGGATCCGACCCCCTCCTAAAAAGTCTTAGATGCTGCAACCCTAAGGAAAAAAAAAAGATGGTGCGAAGAGATGGCGGCATTGCGATGAAGAACGTGAAGCACAAAGCTGTGGCAGACTGGCGTTGGGACTGCCGGCAGTGGGCTGGGCTGTCGCTGGAGTTGCTGGGGCAGTGGGGCTGGTTTGTCTGAGACTGGTTTCACTGGTTTGGGTTGGGCAGTGGCTGTTGGTGGAGTTGGTTTGCTTGTAGAGGACTTAGCAGTGGCAGTTGCGGGCTGTCGGCGGGCAGTGGGTTGGCTGGCTGCTGGGTTTGCTGGGTGGGTTTGGTTCTTGTTATGCTGGGAAGGTTTGCTGGTTTGCGGGGTTGTCACTGGTTGCTGGTGATGGCACGGGTGGCTGGCTGGCTTGTGGCTGGGCAGAGGGTGAGGGCTGGGTTCTGGCTGCTGGTGGCTGTCGCTGGTGGCAGCAGGCTGTTGCAATGAGGTATAGAAGGCTAGGGTTAGGATTAGAGGTAGGGGCTAGGGTTTTGGCTCTGATATCAACTAGAGAAATATGTTTGAGTCAAAGGAATACAAAATAAGTGTAGAGCCCCGTATATAAACAATAGTATCAAAAGATTTGAACATCCCTCTGGTCTAGGCAAGACATAAAAAGTCATAGTAAGGGTAAAAAAGAAAAAACCCTAACAAGCTAGACTATAACTCCAACAGTTATAAACAACCATGAAAAGAAGGGAGGGAGAGGGATATTAATGAGAAGTTGCTGCTTTGGATTCTTGCTCTTGTCATTTCTCATTCCATTTTCTACTGTTTTGTTCATTAATTGTTCCCCTAACAACCAATACTAATTGGCAATGGGTGGAGTGGCTCCTCAAGTATATAAACCAACCTTGGGTGATCTTAATTATTTGATGTGGGATACAAACTCTCTTAATACTAGCTACATGAAGAATGAACTAGTTATTACTTATTACTAGTCTACCTTGCTGTCAGTGCTGCATGTTTGAGAAAATGAGGGTCACGAACTAGTTCTTACTAGTGTATCTTATCACCTGTGCAGCATGTTTGAGAAAATGAAGGTCACTTTGTCAGTTGAGTTTATTGTGTCACTTGGAGAAGTATCCATCTACCGCTGAATGTATTGAGCATTATTATGCAGGGAACAGGAACAATGGGCTCAGTGTGATAGTTGTTCCAAATGGCGAAGGTTGCCCATGCATGTTCTTCTCCCTCCAAGGTGGACATGTTCTGATAACATTTGGGATTCAAACAGGTATTCAATATTTTATTTATTTGCTTTTGGCTATGACATTTTGTGAGATTAAAAGATTATCAAATAATCTTCAGTTTTTGTTATAGATGAGCTGTAAAAGGTGCCTTTAGGTGTCTTTATAATGTGGTATATGGTGACCTCCTTTCATGATGCTCTTCTCTTTATGATTACCAGATGCTCATGTTCTGCCCCTGATGAGATAATTCCAAAGGAAGTAAGAAGTCTTTTCAGAGCCGGGAAGGGTATGAATCAAGCTTCTTTGTTTTTCTTCCCTTTCTAGCAAAATATGTCTCGCCTTTTTTTTCTTATTTTAATTTGAAGATGATGAGGTTTGAAGCTTGCATGACAACTATTTTTTTATTTTTTTTGTGAAAAATGATTTTGGGAATTAGATGGAGGAGGATAATTCCAATGCTTGCAATTCCTTGTCAAGATGCCTGAAGGTGTCCATTGGCAGATCTGAAAGCTTACGGGATTGCATTATTGATGCTTAATGCACAAACAGAATGTTAGATTAACTCAAGTTGAACAGTTGTGTGGATAGGTGCTTTTAGGTGCCAATTTGATTCAAATTCTCTCCTAATACTTGGGAATTATACTAGGGTATTTTGTGTTGAAGTTAGAATTTTTTCTTTCTTCATTTCTTGGGACTAATGTTACTGAAAGCCACTTTTGGATATGTGGTTACAACTTATGAACATGGACTTGTAGTACTTGTGTCATTTGTACCTATCTAAAATCCTTCATCCCTGAAGGTAAAAGGCCCATCAGCTTTGATCACTGTGACAATCCTAAGTATTTGTCATATAGTTGTTAAAGTGGCTAAAACTCTCTGTCTCTCTTTCTCTTCCTCCTGGCAAATCTTCCAAACAATGACCACCAAAGATCAAAGCACTTGCCTCTCTACCTTTTTTTTCTTTGCTGATCCGAACTTTCTCTCTGTTGGTTTTGTCATGTGCACTTTCAAATTTGATAGTGTTTCTTGCACACAATGACGATTTCATTCTTCAAACTGAATCCTAGATCACAATGTCACCATATCTATCCATCTCCTACTCCACTCACACGACCTGAAAAAAATCTTTAACGAATCAAGGTTCGGGCTTCAAGATTTGAAGTGTGTACATGAGAGAGAGTGATATATGTATAAGAGCGAGATTGCCCCTACTTGGTTTTGGTTAAATTCTCGAAGTCTTTAGGTATTTGCAACCTGCATGTTGGATGTTTAGTTAAGCCATTTGCTTGTGCATGGTTGGGAAACTTGGTGAGGGGATAAGTTATGTAGTTGGAGAATCCATGCACATCAGATTCAGTATACCTACTTTCTGATATATGCTTGATCCTGTTTTAAGACAATTTGATGTTACTTGAGATAGATGTAAGTGAAAGGGATACAAACTAAATGTAGAGCCCCCGTATATATAGTCAATGAGAGTTACAATAAGGATAAAAAGGTAAAAAAGAAAACTTAATAAAACCCTAATAAACTATGCTGCTACTATATCTCCAACACTGCCCTTCAAGCTTGACGCAAAAATGTCAACTAAGTCAAGCTTGACAACGGAGTCCCGAATAATAGATAAAGTGACAGGTTTGGTAAAAATATCCGCAACCTGATTACTGGTCTCCACGAACGATGGAGTGACAATACCACTGCTAACCTTCTCCCGAAGAAAGTGAACATCGATCTCTATATGCTTCGTCCTCTCATGTAGTACAGAGTCAGAAGCGAGCTGAATAGCAGATCGATTATCACAATATAATGTGGATGGAGAAGTCACTGAAAATTCCAATTCACCAAGAATCGATCGTAGCCAGATAATCTCACACGTGTCAAGTGCCAGTGCCAGTGCCCGATACTCTGCCTCTGCTGACGAGCGGGAGACAACTGCCTGCTTCTTGCTCTTCCAAGAGATAAGATGAGTCTCTCGAAAAGCACAGAAGCCCGTAGTAGATCGACCGTCACATGCTCCCCCATAATCTGAATCTGAATAACAGGCTAGAGAACCGGTCTGAGATCCTAATGCATAGAACAATCCAAGTCCAGGACAAGACTTAAGGTACCGAAGAATATGATAAACTGCATCGAGATGAGGCTGACGCAGCCTGTGCATGAACTGACTAACTCGGCTGACTGCGAATGAAATGTCCGGCCTAGTGTTGGCTAAGTAGATAAGTCTACCTACCAACCTATGATAAACTGTCGGATCTCTCAACTCCTTACCTTCAGCAGTAAGCTTCAGGTTTGGAATCATGGGTGATGATACCGGTTTGCACCCCAGCATCCCAGGGTCTGAAAGAAGATCCAAAACATACTTTCTTTGAGAAAGAACAACACCCTTGCTGCTATGAGCAACCTCAATCCCAAGAAAGTATCGCAGAAATCTAAGGTCCTTCATATCGAAGGCCTTTCCAAGGTCTACCTTGACCTGCGCAGTCCCATAAATATCATCACCAGTAATAATAATATCATCAACATATACCAGAAGGATGACACACTGTCCAGAAGTATTCCGTCGAATAAAGCGGTATGATCAAAATGACATCTGGTGAACCCCAAACGTACGACTACATCACTAAAGCGAGAGAACTAGACTCGTGGTGACTGTTTCAGTCCATAAAAAAACTTACGCAGTCGACATACCTTTCCAGCATACTCCCCCTTACCATGCAAGCCTGGTGGTGCATCCATATAAATAATCTTGTCTAGATCACCGTGAAGAAACACATTCTTCACATCTAATTGATGAAGAGACCAAGAGTACTCCGCAGTTAGAGAAATAATCAACCGAACAATAGTAATTTTGTCACGGGGGCAAATGTAGCACCAAAATCACGACCTGGTACCTGAGTAAAGCCCTTCGCCACAAGCCTAGCCTTGTGACGATCAATAGTACCATCCGCAAGAAACTTCAGGGTGTAAACCCAGCGACAACCAACAGACTTCACTCCTGAAGGTAAAGAGACAATATCCCATGTATGATTACGTTGAAAAACGTCCATCTCTGTCTGCATGGCAAGAACCCACTGGGGCTCCCGTATAGCCTCCGAAACAGAGCGAGAAACTGACGTATCTGATAAGGCCATACTATAAGCTCGAAATGTAGGAGACAAATCACCATAAGAAACATAAGCAGAGATCGGATATAAAATCCTGACGGTCCAACCATAACAATCAACTGGACGACGATCATGTCGTGGATAATGACGCTCTAAATCATCATCCTCCACTGATAATGTCTCATCAGGTAAAGGAACTGACTCAACACCTGCAAACTCATCAGTACTAACAACAGGTGCATCAATATGCTCAATAAACTGAGAAGTATTACCTGCATCGCCTGAGGTAGAGGGAACATCAGCAGGGTGATGAGTGCGAGGGCGACGAACATACACCTGCAAAGGAAGAGAGACTGTTGACTCTGTAATGGTAGGGATGAGTGGCTTCAGAGGAGGAGAGGCGGATGACCCTGTAGAGATAGTGACCAATGACTCTGCTCTTGTGGTAATGGAAAATCAAGGGGAGTATCATCAACTGAAGGAGCAGACACAGGATTAGAAGGAAAATAAGGAATATGCTCAAAAAAAGTAACATCTAGACTGTGATACATACGACGCCCAATAGGATCATAACACCGATACCCCTTAGATTGATGACAATAGCTCACAAAGATACAACGAATCGCTTTATCATCAAGTTTATGACGAGTAGGAGATCGATCCTGAATAAAACATGTGCATCCAAAAATACGAGGGGGGATCAAAAAAAAGTGTCCACTCAGGAAATAAGACCTGTAAGGGAGCCTTATGCTGAAGAACACGACTCGGCGTACGATTGCACAGAAAGGTAGAAGTCAAAACAGCAAAATGTCAATAAGATTTTAGTACTCTTATGCCTCTAAGCATACAACATACCATCCCTATCACACTCCTTATTTTTCCTTTCAGCAACACCATTTTGCTCAGGAATATATGGACAAGTGAGTTGCTGAAGAATATCCTGAGAAGAAAGATGGGACATTAAGGCATCAGACACATATTTTTGGCATTATCCGAACGAAGAGTACGAACAATGACATCAAATTGTGTCTTTATCATCTGTAAAAATTGAGTGATTATAGGGAGTACATCAGACTTTCGATGCAAAAGGTAGACCCAAGTATAACGGGTATGGTCATCTATAAATGTCACATAGTACCGAGCATGATCTCTCAGAAAGTTATGGCACAGTTGTTGAATGGTTGTAACTTCGCTGAGTGGTCTCGCTCATTCCAGCTTTTTTTAGGCCATGTAGGGAAGTTTGGTTGGCTGACGGGATCTCACCCAAAGCCAGCTGATGTCGACCCTGGATATTTTGTGTGGTTCTCTGAGAATTGTGCCATTCTTGGATGGTTATTTAGCTCGATGGAGCCATCTGTTTGCAGGATCCACCAGTTTCATAGCTCTGTTCCGAAGTTATAGAGCGCATTATCAGAGATGTATTCTCAGTCAGGACGGGGAGTTCGTGTTTATGAGCTTTCTCAGGAGCTCTCATATGCTCGACAGGGAGATATGACCGTTCAGGATTATTATGGCTATTTGACCCAGCGCTGGCTTGAGTATAAGACTCTACGTCCTCTTGCTGCTATTCCGAGGATAGAGCCCGAGAGAGCAACATTCTTGCATACTTGAGAGCAGGAGGATAGGATTCACAAGTTCCTTATGGGGCTTCGTGATGAGTTTGAGGGATCTCGTTCTCAGATCTTGTCGATGTTGACACTTCCTTCTCTTTATGAGGTGTATGAGATGATTGAGCAGCATGAGCACCGAGTCCGTATTGCATCACTTCCAGTTGCGGCTTTGACTCCTTCGGCTGACCAGATGGCCCTTGCAGCTGCTGCAGGGTCTCGTTCAGGATCCTCAGTCAGGGGTGGGCATCGCTCGGACTAGCGCCGTCAGGGTGCCCTAGATCAGCGCAGACAGTGGGATTCTCGTCAATGTGATTATTGTGGCCGACTAGGACATCTCAGGATTACTTGCTGGAAACTCCATCCAGAGCTTAAGCTGCCTTCTCGCAGCCGTACTGTTGCTATTGCTGAGGTACTACCATCCACTACCGTTCCTTCTGCGGCTGCTCCTCCTTGGCAGAGTGATATGGATGTTATCACTTCCCGATTAGATATACTTATGTCTGCTCTGACTTCTCAGAGTCCGACTACTGCTCCTGCCACTACAGGTATACCTCGTGCCTTTCATGCTTTGATACCAACTTGAGATAGATGTAAGTGAAAGGGATACAAACTAAGTGTAGAGCTCCCGTATATATAGTCAATGAGAGTTACAACAAGGACAAAAAGGTAAAAAGGAAAACTTAATAAAACCCTAATAAACTAGTTTGCTGCTATATCTCCAACAATGTTAAACTTGTCGATTTCCAAAATTTCATAGCTGCAGACCAGACATCGAAGTTTGTCCTATCATTATGAAGTTGCTTGTCTCTCAGATACATGTATAACCCCTTGATTTCTTTGTTCTATGACGCTTTTCACCTTGCTTGTCCAACTTTCTTCTGTGTAAATGTCAAAACACTTGATGTTACTTTTCTAACTTATCTATTTTTCCCCAGATTCTAAGAAGCAAAGAACCACAGAAAATAAGGTAGCCCAAGAACTTGGGCCTTCTGGCCTGGATGCTTTGGGCACTGCTGCAGTTCTTGGAGACAATGCTGGTGACTTAGGTGAGCATTCAGTCGGAGCCACTACCAAACATCCCCGACATCGCCCTGGATGCACTTGCATTGTGTGCATTCAGCCCCCAAGCGGAAAGGGAAAGCACAGTCCGATGTGTGTATGCAACGTGTGCAAGACAGTAAAGCGCCGCTTTAAAACCCTCATGCTGCGCAAGAAGAAACGCCAGTCAGAACTTGAAGCAGAAGTCGCCCAGGGAAAGGACCTGGGTATGCCTAAGGATGGGTCAGAACCCGATGGCACATTGGGGCATACATTGCCGCATATGAGTCATTCAGAAAATGAAAAAAGTCAGAATGGAATCCTACTGGAGGTTGGTGAAACAGACAAAGGGCAGTTAGACTTGAATTGCCATCCCAACCGTGTCGAGGAAATTCTAACAGAGCCAACTGGACTTGGCATGTTGAGCCTTGTTCATGGGGCAAGCCGTCCAATGGAGAAGTATTTGAAGCAGAATGAGCTTGGAACCTTTGGCCCCGGTTTACTCTCACAGGCTGGTGGTGAGAATGAAGGACGCCCACCGGCTGACAGGCGGCTTGCATCTGTAGTGGGGAAGCTGCAAGACAAGGGTGATGAAGGGTGATCCGAGACCAACTAAACTATTATAATTTTTTTTTTCTCTCTTTACTGTATATCTGTATACTTGCCTCACAGCTAATGTTATTTCACCTTCACAGCTAGAGATTGCACTCAATTTTATTTTTCGGAATTTTCATTCACACCCCTGTAAATTGTTGTATCTTAGGGATATCCTTAACCTTATCTGTAATTTCATTGGCACCCCTTGATTGTGAACTTGAGATGGCTGTTTTTCTTTTAAGTATAAAACAAATTATATTCCCCCCTTTTATCCGACTGGGCTGTTACATTTTTATCTTATTGAAGTTTGAAAATACAGAACTCCCCTTCCTATGGTTTTAGAGTAAAGCGTTCCTCTATTACATTTTTCATTGAACATAAGGACAAGTATGCCCCTTGATCTTTTTCATTACTTCTTTCCTCTATTTATTTTCTCAACCCGAGACCACAACATCACTGCGCCTTAGCCTACAAGTTCAGCTTGGCCTGACCCAGAGAGCCAAGCGGGTGTGTTGGAATCTCTTTTTTATTTTATTTTTTTAGTATTTTTTTGGGAGGGAGAGGGAGGGATTTGAATCGTTGACATAAAGAAGATAAAATCTTCGCAAGATAAGAAGTATTATTAGATGAAGACCCGTTAGTTGACCCGCTAATATGACCCACCACCTAGTTTTCAAAATTTTTGGCAAGATTTGCCATGGTTTAATAGCCAGCCTTTTTATTAACTCTTGCGACCTTAATTAGAAGTTCTTTTAAGTGCTATTACTTGAAAATATAATTGCTCTTTCATCTGATGAGTAACACACACCAAGTCATGGGCATGGCTCAAATTGAGGCATGACCAACTCGATTCTCTATTTTTGATAGTCAGTTACTAAAATAGATGTTCTATGTGTGAAATTTAAAATCAAGAGTCCAACTTAACTCTCTAAACTCACCAAATTAAAATTATTTTTCAGCACATATGATCTACAAAGTAAAAGACAATACAAAGCCTGCCGTTGTTTATTTGCTACTTCGGCTTGACTTATTTTAGCTTTTTAATCTTGGAGGAAAGAGAATATCTCATGAAAAATTTAATTTTAATCTATGGACCTAAAGTATCATATTATACTTTATTACAAATGATCTATTCAATTTTGAAAATTTATAAGGACGAAATTCAAGGCATCGACCTCCATAATCCAAGAACTCAATGAGTCAAGGAACCCTTTGATTGCACAACGACCCAGATGGCTTGCCCACATCCGAAGTCTAAAAGGCCGAACCCAAGGTGGAAAGCCCAACATCATCAGAAGGCTTGCAATCCAATCTAACCCCAATCCAGTCCAGCCAATGAATTGCCTAGGTTAGAGAGGCCCAACTTGAAACAAACTCTGGAGTATCTCGTTGCGTCACATGTTCTAAGGACAAGGGGACCATCATTGACACCCCCGATAGTAACACACTCCCGAATGCAGAGAGTGCTGAAACGCATAACAATCCAAATATCGTGGACACAGTGGCGTCGAACGACAGAGGTTGTTGTAGGACAGCGATAGAAGGACCCACAAAATCAGCCAAAAAGAAGAAGGAGCTACATAAATCCTAAAGGAGATGACTCATATAAATAGAATACTGTTAACCTAACACATAGCATGATCTTCCCCACTATTCTCAAAAGCCCAAAGAGCATTGGAAAGAGAACAGGAAGCTCAAGTTTTTGTAAGGCCTAGCACCTGTAATACCATTGTATTCACCAGAGATCAATATATGACCCCAAGGAACAAGAATCTCTCCCTTACAATGGATGTAGCCTTAGTCCTCTGACTAAGGTGAACCATTTACACTTCGTGTTCTTTTATTCACTATAGACTTTCCACTTATTCAACCAATCCACTAACATCCTCGTAATATCGTTTATTGGACTTGGCTGTTATTTCCAAGCATCATCAAAAACCTTAACCTTCACTTAAAGATAAAAATAAAACCTGAGCAAAAGCTATAGAGATCATTTTATTCCTAAACACAAAGCCATTAAAAAAGAACTGATATCTTTATTTCATGCATTTATCTGTTTTACACTGAAACCACTTCAGCTGGTGTAGCCTTGCCGATTGTACTTGATGGGCACAACGTCAAAAGGCAATTTCTTGGTAGCATTAAATCCAAAGTCCCCTTCCATACTGATGACTTCCACCTTCATCCCACTTGGTAATTCCCAATCAAAACAGTGCAGCAGGTTTGCGAGTGTAACCCCCATGCATGCGACTCCCATCACCATGCCTAGACACATCCTACGGCCAGAACCAAATGACACCAGCTCAAAATGTTGATCTTTGAAATTAATGGCACTGTTTTCAAACCTTCCTGGGTAGAACTGTCCCGGGTTCTTCTAGGCTCTAGGATCTCTCCCAATTGCCCCACACATTCAGTAGGATACTTGTTTTCGGGTAAACGTCATGATTACTGATTTTGCGAAGTCGTACTGTCTCACAAGGTATGAAGGGTGCTGGGGGGTGTAACCTAAGAGTCTCTTTCAGCACCATTTTCAAATATTCAAGCTTTTGCAATTCACTTTCGTCTACTTTCGATTTGCTCCCAATCCAGGTCCTGATTTCGACTTGGACCTTTTTTTATCACTCTTGGGTTCTTGAGGAGGTGTTTCATTGCCCATATGATTGGAATAGAAGTGGTGTTCACCGCACCAAGAAATATATCCTAAAATGTTCAAGGGGGAAATTGGAAGGGATATACCAAATTAGACTTAATTGTAAAAAAATACACAGAAAAAAATGTTAGGTAATTAAGTCCTGATTTTTTGCGACATTTTTGTCCTCCATCGATCCATGTGTATTTTCTTTGAAAAGTGGTGCATTAAACATCTCTTAGTTTTATGAGAGAATTTGAATATTTCATATTTGTATGTCCTCCCTTGATTCATACGTATTTTTTTTTGAAAAATAATTTTATTTTTAAATAATATTTAATGCATCTTGATTCATAAGTATTTTTTTTAGAAAGTGGTTTTGTTTTCAAATTATATTAATATCCAAACAGTGTAATAATAACAGTGTAACAAGTTATTTACACAAAATATTATAATATTACATTTTTTTAAACATATATTTTCATATAATTTCATTTAAAACAGTCCATCTCCGTTTTGAATTTGTTATCACATGCACAAAATTACTAAACACTAGTTTTGTTATAGTGTATTGTTACACTGTTTTTGTTACAGTGTATTTGTTACACTGTTTTTATTACACTATTATGGAGTTCGGATGTTAACAAAATTTGAAATTCAAACAAGTGATATATTTTAAAATAAACGGAATATTAAAATTCTCCTATAAAATTAGTAGTAGTAAATATTTAATGCATAAATATAATGTAAAAATAAAATCACTTTTAAAAAAAAAATGAATGAATCAAGGTGCATTAAAGATAAGAAATTTTGAATTAAATGACCCTAAATTTCAGCGCTTAATAAATGCCTTGTTAAAGTTTTAGGAAAGAAAATTTTTCAAAATGGGCATTTATTTATTTGTATTTCAGCTGTGTACTTTTTTTCAAAATATTTTACTCCGTGTATTTTTTTACAAATAAGTCTAATTAAGTGTACCGACTTTTAAAGGTATCATAAGCCATTTAAATAGTATGCAAGCATAAGGGTAGGTATTGGGTCGGGCCAATCCAGCCCGCTCAAGATGGTGAAGGGCCAACTATTTAGTAATCAATGGGCCGTATTGGGTTAGCTTACCCACCCTTCTGTGGGATACCCATTTGTTTGGTCCTAGTGGACTACTTTTTTAAAAATGAAGGATTAAGTCGAAATAACTGAAATATTTTTTTATTCAAAGAAATCGAGAAGAGTCAGTGATTAATTAAAATTTTAATATTTTGAGATGTTTCATAATATTTTGAGGTGTTTCGTCATGTTTCAACACATTTACATAATTATTTTACAATGTTTCAAAGTGTATTTAGATGTTTTGATATATTCTAACCAATATTTTAAAAAAATAATTTATAAATTTTTTTATTCATTTTCATTCAATTTTTGAAACAGGTCAAAACGTTTATAAAATGAGTTGAAACATTTACTTTTTGCTAAGTAACTGAAACAATGAACCGAAAATTTTGATTCTTGTTTCAAATGCAACATACTTTTAATTTTTTTTGAATTATGATTCACGTTGGGAGCTTACCCCTCGGACTGTCTTCATGGGCTTATTTGGACCAGTTTGTCGGGCATAGCCAACCAAAACTATGACCCATGACCCTACCCATTGAACTATTAGGCATCCAAGTGGCCATGGACCGTTGGGCCATGGGCGGTCAAGGTCTGTGGGCCATGGGCCAGTTCCCTAGCGTTACATGACCATACTTTGCTAAATGTCACCGACCTGTTCACATAGTTGTGAACACTGAACAGAAGTACACTGATTATTATGGTGACAAATAAAGATTACTTACAACAAGCACGGCTTAATGTGGTCATTAGTGAGACGGATAGAAGAATTTTGATCTCTCAATAAGCGAAGCATTACATCAATGATATCTTCATGCTCTGCCCTCAGTCTCGAAGGATCAAGATGGTCAGCAATGACCCTCTCAACGAAAGCATCAAAACTACCTATGCACTTCTCAAGTCTCCTATGGAGCCCCATGAACACATCACCGATCCATCCAACATAAGGAATGAAGTCTCCAAACCAGAAACTATGTACCATGGCCTTGGCTTCATCAATAGCATCTAAAAACTTTCCATTTTCAATTTGCCTCCCTGCATAGCTCTGACCAAAAGCAATCCTGCAAACGATGGTGTTTATGAGAGAGACTATTCTCTCCCGGGGAAATTTGAGAGATGGAACTCATAAAGCAGGCAACCTCAGATTCCCTAATGAAGGAAAAAGATTCAACTCTCTTGGCAGTGAACAACTCAAGAACACAAATCTTATGCATCTCTCTCCAGTACTCCCCATAAGGTGAAAATGCCACGTCTAATAAGTTGTAAGAAATCCTTTTCTGGCCATGTGTGTGAGGTTTACCACAACAATCAATATCATGAGTTTTTAACACCTCTTTGGCTGTTTGGGAAGAAGAAAAGATGAGGGTTGGGACTCGGCCCGCCTGCAAGAGCATGATTGAGCTGTATTTTTGGGAGAGCTTCCGCTTCCATAACAAGAAGTGAGGGATGGAACCAAATTGGTGCAGGTTGCCTATGATGGGAAGCTTTTGAGAGCTTGGAGGAACGTTGAGTACTGCTCTGGACTTGGGTTTTAGAAGAAATAAGAGGGGGAGAAAAGAAAGAAACAGAAGGCTGAGTAAAGAAGCCAACATTGTTGGGACTTGGGAAACTGAGAGACCATAAAGAAAGTGGTGTAGCCACGGCTATGGGAGCATAGGTTATGAGTCATGTGACCACCAATTGACATTTTATATTACATAAAGAAGTTGATTAAAGTACACTAATACTAGAATGACCAAATTTTGAAATCGAATTTAAAACTCAAATGATATGATAGTTGATTATTTGGAGTTTTTATTGGAACCCAAATGACATGACACCAATAGAAGAAGTTCAAGTCAACTGTCATGTCATTTGAATTTCAAATTTGGTTCCAAAATTTGATCAATGTAACATTACTCATTGAAGTATGGGCTAAGGATAAAAAAATTCGTTTTCAAATTGTTGAAACGTATGAAACGTTTATATTTTCAAAGAGATCAAAATGAATCAGTGATAGAATAAAAATTCTAATACTTTGAAGTGTTTAATAATGTTTTGAGGTGTTTTATAATGTTTTAATGCATTTGCACAATTGTTTAAGAATGTTTTAAGGTATGTTAAGATATTTTGGTATTTTCGACTAATATATTGGAATAGTAATTCTTAATTTTTTTATTCTATTTTTGAAATGGGTATAAATGTTTCCAAAACATATCGAATTTTTTTTCGTTTTTTAGATGATGGACACAATATACCAAAACAAATTTGTGATCCTTACATATGAGTTTCACTAGGAGTTTCTTTGTTTAGCGGAAGAATGATAGAAAATGCAAGAAAGAGAAATTTTTTAAAATTTTCATGTGTTTGGTTAGTACGAAAAGGAAAATGATAGAAAAAATAATTTTATTTAATGCTGGAATTTTCTCACAGCTAACAAACTTTTTTTTCTTGTAAAAAATACAAGAAAATACAAGAAATTTGTGATATATAACTAACTTCTTATTTTACCCTTCTTTTTCTTAAAATATTTTATTGGTTATTAATTTTAAAAATTTTTGGTATGAATTTGATTAATCATATAATTTGGCCCAAATACCTTTGTGTTGGTAATTGTCCTAAAATCAGGTTTTGAGCCACTTTTTTTTAAAATTTTTTAACTTTCAATTATAATATCTATATATTTTTTTTCTTTTTTAGACGGATTTAATATAATTAAGAGTAATTTAGATAATTAGAAAAAATTTCTTGTAACTTTTCTTGCTTTTAAATAATAGAATGAAAATTTTTTAAAATTTTTCCATAATTTTTTTTTTCTAACCAAATACATGCATGAAAATATATTTTTTATTATTTCACTTTACTTTCTATCATTTTCATTTTTCATCATTTTTTTCTTCCTAATTGAAGAGACCCTAGTGGACCATCTTAAATGTACTTGCTAGAAAATATGTATTGAAGATCCTAAGATTTGTTTGTCATCAAAGTAATCAAAGTGTTTGTTGCAAAATGCAAGTAGTTTTGAAAATTATGGATCCTAGTTAATTTTTTCTTCTTATTGTCGGACTTGGCGATGAACCTGAAGGTATTATGTACACCACCTATTTTATTGAGTGTCCTTAATTAAATTGATCCCATATATTTTTTTTGTGTGTGGTGCCTGGTACTCGGTAACGTCACTGCGTGCTCCCTTGGCCGAGCCCAGCCCAACCCATGGCGATGCCTTCTCCACGATCAACAAGCCCAACAGGCGTCGCCTATGGCGCCTCGCGTTCGACGGCCTGGGTTATCTCGCCCCCTAGGACCTCACCCTCGGCTCTCCTCTCCTCTCTAACCTTGACACTAGCCTGGCTCCCAGCCTTGACGACGCTAGCCTGGCCCTCGGCCTTGCCAATGCTCGCTTGAGTTCTCGCCTCGAAGCCGACTGCTCCAATGTTACCCAACTCCTCACCGGAATCGATAGACCCTTGCATCTCCCTTCTTCCACTCGATAGTGGTCTCTAAGCACTCATCTCAGGAACAAAGTCACGAACCTCACTCATCTTTCTTGAGTTCTTAAGTATCTCGAAAAAAAATCCTCTCTCAAGGTGAATGGAATGAGGAGAAAAGGAAAACCCCCCAATTTATAGCCTAGGGCTTTTGAAATCCTGAGAGGAGATAAAATGGGGGGAGTTTGCATAGTGAGAGATGTGCTACAGAGATGAGCTATATCAAGAAAAAAAGAAGAAGAGGGAGTCATTAGTCAAGATGGGTTTCGTCAGAGCCCAAGTCTAGCTAAATGCCATCTTCCCCAAGTTTTATTGGACTCGGGTCATTGGGGGGCAAATGATGGGCTCGACCCAGTGCTCAACTTGAATGAAGGATCCGCTTTGAGAATGTTGGATGGGTCCAGCCCAAAAGAGGTCTATGTTTAGTCAGCCTCATCAAAGCTCCAAAAGCCACCTCGTTAGGAAGTAGACAACACCATCCCAAAAGTCTCATCCACGCCGCATTGAAAAAAGTCAACCATGTCATCCTTAGACCTAATCTTGAGGAGAGCCCCGTAATTTTGAGAGCCCCGTAACTGCCTCAGCCGTTGTGAGGAAGACGCCAATTTCACCAAATCAGCTACTTAGTTATTGAAAAAACGCCTCAGTCTGTTAAGAGACACTCTAAATTGTAAGTCCGCCAATACATGGGGGCATCAATCACATCTTGCATCACTCTCATCTCTCTCATAGTTTGTACGTCTTTTGCTCTCATCGGATCTTCTTACACTTCTGCAGTAATAAAATATCCAGACCATCCTAGTCCTTCATAGTGGAGTAGGTCATGTTGATTGAACCACTCTATATTTGTGTTTTGCTCATGTTATTTCTCTTTTTAATTACTACATTAATCACTAATCACTTAACAGGTAGCGTATAATATCAATTTATGCATCATCAATATGAATTAAGTGAACTTTAATACGACAGAATAAGATTTATTGGTAATCCTAAATTTGTAAAAGAGACACGGTTCCTGCTTAATTAACAATGAGAAAAGAGGAGGAAGGAAGAGGGGTTTAATTGCGTGGAAGTTACCTTTCCAGCATTTTGTCAAATACCACCTGTGCGTGACATGTTTATCTTGATATCCTCTTACCCATCGATTTTTTCCACAAAACCAGACAAATGAATTGAACATGACATCAAATTGTTAAAATATCAGTCCGGCCAGAAATTTGTCCTATGTGACCGGTTTGGTAATGTCCATTCTATGTAAGACGAAAAATAAAAGTTGTAAGCTTAGTTGGCTAACAATGATATTTTCAATTTTCAATTCGGGGCTATTACTGATGTTAGGTGTGTCTTCTCTAGGCCACGCCCAAACTGTATTTCTCATCCTCGTCGCATACTAGGTTTTCTCTTGACTTCTAATGTTGTTCCAGACTACAAGACCATTTTGTAACCTAATATAATTGGCAGCTCCCCCATCCACACGCGTATTCAAAATTATTCTTTGTTATGAAAAGAAAACTGTTGTTTTCCGTGATCGGCCATTCTTGTTGGCTTTTGACTACTGTGTCCACTTTCCTTACAAATACTGACAGCCCTCCTCCCCCTCTTCTTTCAACAATCCATCCTCTCTCTCTCTCTCTCTCTCTCACTCACACACACACACACACATACAAGAAATAGGTGTATCACCACGGGACTAATGGGGGACTTGGGAACATTGGCAAAGGCAAAAAGGGAACTGGAAGAGATATACCTAGGAGTCCCAGATGACTCAGTGAACCTCACTTTTCAAGACCTTGCTCAGGTGCAACAAAAAATAGTAGAAAAGAGAAAGTCTGGGAAAATGGAGCCAACTTCTGAACCCAAGCCAAGGAAAGAACCATTAACCAAACTGCCCAGCCTAGACTTCAGCAGAGCCCTACAAGCATCCCCAAAAAACTGCCACCATCACCACATCCTTGACGACACTTTTGATTCACCTCAGATTCATCTGCGTCATCCCCTTGATGATAACGGCCTCCATGTGTCTGGAGGCCGTCATTACGATCGTGGGAGAACTCATGGTGACCATGCAAGTCCATATCATGGTCCCTCGAGGGATGCAGGATTTAGACATACAGCTGAGAGTAGCATGGCTTATGATGACACAAGTCACATTAGTGGCGTTTCGACAAACAATTTTCAAGAGAGAGGTGGACGCAGGCGACCGGGGATTCCTCACTCTAATATTTGCACCATTTGTAACACTTACATCTATATTTTTCGACACCGATGTTTGGTAAGATGAATATTAATCTCTAATCATATAAAAACTTGTGTTACATTAAAATAGTTTGTTTTTAACATTTTTGAGAGGTAACTGTGTGCAGGTCTGTGGAAGAGCCTATTGCAAGCAGTGTGTGAGCGTGGGCATGGGGGAGATGACAGAAGGAAGAAAGTGTGTCGACTGTTTAGGGAGAAAATTCAGCCAAAGGTAACCAACCAACCTGCTTCAAAATTTTCTTGATGAATTGTATTAGCACAAGGCTCCATGTTCCTAACTAGCCGATAATCAACCCACCCGTAAATAGGCTTAAATGAAGTGGGTTACTACAGTCATGTTTTTGGCCTCACTTTTGTTTCAACAGTATTTTTGTACATAATTTATTGGCCTAATTCATATTACAAACGGGTGTGATCATACCAACACTAATGCGCCAGATATAATAAGAACTCTACAGTTAAATATACTTGGACGAGAGTAGTATTAGGATGGATAACTCTTGAGAAGTTCTCGTGTTGAACCTTTTTTTGAAAAAAAACAAAAAAAAAATTCCTATTACAAACATTAGATTGATGGTGAGTCCAAACAAATACTGAGATAACAATTTGACTACCATCAATCCAATGATTCAGTGATTAGGTCAGTCAAAATAACATCACTCATATGTATACAAGAACTTGGTCTTAATCAAAGTTGAAAACAAACAATGTTATTTAGATATAATAGTTTAATTTAATTTATCGGTGTAATTCATAACTTTTGTTAAATTGAAAGTGGACCATATCAAATATTAACAGCACTCTTAATTCAATAACAGCGATGGATTAACTATGATAATTAGATTAGAGTGGAATTGTTCAATTTGGAAAACTTCCTTTCACTATGTTTAGTCCACCTATTTCCTTTTCACTGCTTTGGCTGATAGGGTTTCTTTTAGTTAAATCTAGTTTATATGGGGTGAAATCATATTTTTTATTTTTTATTTTAACTCAACGGTTAAGAATGTCCAGACCAACTTACATGTATCTCGACTAATCACCTCCCTGATCTAATCAATTGTTTGGGGTGAAATCACATTTAAATACCCTTCTTAAACAAAAATTATTTGGGCCGGCACTACCAATTACTTTAATTTGACGTTGACATCCATGATTCCGTCCGCCAACCCGTTTTTGCCGTCTGGCCCGTCTCTGGACCATGACAGTAAGGAGGACTTGCACATTGCAATTGCCGTCTGGCCGGTCTCTGATCCATGGGCTTCGCTCCAAACTGTAAACACAAAGAGGACTTGCACATTATAATTTAAATAAGGATTAATAGTATTTTTAATCTCTAGCATATTTTGTTAGTAAATCTTCATTATATTAATTTGATCTTTAAAGTATTCGGTTCTTATTTAAATGATCTCTAATTGTTGGTCACTTATTGTATGAAAGAATGACACATAATTATTTCCGTTAAAAAACTTAACAGATTGTCTGATTAGGAACTATTTAAACACAAATTGAATATTTTAATGATTAAATTAATATAATGAGAATCAAATCGACAAAATACGCATATTTTAGGGACTAAAATTACAATTAACCCTTTAAATAACAAGAAGAACGTTTCTTTCTATTTATTTTTCATCGGTTAAACTATTATTCAACTAAGATCTAGTACCTGAAAGTTTTTTCCGATAACATAATTGTATCCATGTTTTATTTGGTGGAGTTTATTTCTCCTATGAGAAATGCAATGTGAACTTAAAATATAGAGTTGATTAATCACAATTATTGAAGAGTAAGTGAGTTCTAATAAATGTTAAGACCCCGATAAAATCAATGACATATCAAATATATATTTTAAATCCACGTAGAATCGTTGTTCTTCTATTTCTTAGTAACTATGTGGCTTGTGCCTGTGCCGTATTTTTTGGCAGGTACATACAAAGAGCAGGACAGACAGGGTGTTGTATGGGGTACGCAAGTGTAGTGAAGCAACAAGAGCTGAAATGGGCCGAGAAAGGGCCGAGGAGGAACGCCGAGAATCGATACGGCCGTAGCGGCATGGCTTCCGGATTAAGAAGTCCGATGACACCAATAACACCCACCAGGGCCTATGCTACTAATGGCCCTCCTTCTTTCGTCGTGAACACGCCATTGCACTATTCAAATTTCTCTCCGACCAACCATCCCCTCCCTTTATAGGAAATTAATTTCTCATACTTCTTCATGAAACAGTTTTCTTTTTTTTATATGCAAGTTTTCATGAAACAATTTCATTATGTAATATTCTGGTCATTATTGTCGCCAAATTGTTTGCTATGTTTTTGTATTTGGGATTTTACGTGGGGAAGAATACTTGAAAAGTGATAAGGTTTCTTGTTTTTTTCACTGTACCGTGAGTATCATGTTATGAAAAACCACTCAATCAATTCTAGGAGTATCTTTTTAATACAACAAAATATTTGTTAAATTTAGCCCACAGTGAGTACTTTCAACCATGTTCATGGTTTGCAGGTAATTGCATTCATCTCGAGTTAAAGTGGCAGAAGGAGATCAAGACTATACATAGAAAAAAGCCCTGAAATTATTTACCGATTGCAGAAAGCCCGAGTTCTTAGTGAATAGAGCAACAACATGTTGTATCAAGCACTTAATATCCTTCTCCCTAGTGTCAATCGAGAAATACTTCTTATTCCGTATTTGGGATCCCAACTTTTTTGATCAAAACAAGCAAAGTAAACATTTCATTAAATAGGGAAATTGAGGTTACAATCAGAAAAAAGTAAAGCCTTAAGTTTAGGGGGGAG